ACATACATACATACATTACATACATACATACATACATACATACATACATACATACATACATACATACATACATACATACATACATACATACATACATACATACATTACATACATACATACATACATACATACATACATACATACATACATACATACATACATACATACATACATACATACATTACATACATACATACATACATACATACATACATACATACATACATACATACATACATACATTACATACATACATACATTACATACATACATACATACATACATACATACATACATACATACATACATACATTACATTACATACATACATACATACATACATACATACATACATACATACATACATACATACATACATACATACATACATACATACATACATACATACATACATACATACATACATACATACATACATACATACATACATACATACATACATACATACATACATACATACATACATACATACATACATACATACATACATACATACATACATACATACATACATACATACATACATTACATTACATACATACATTACATTACATACATACATACATACATACATACATACATTACATACATACATTACATACATACATACATACATACATACATTACATACATACATACATACATACATACATACATACATACATACATACATACATTACATACTTACTTACTTACATACATACATACATACATACATACATACATACATACATACATACATACATACATACATACATACATACATACATACATACATACATGCATGCATACATACGAGAGAGGGAGATTGGGAAGAGAGAGGCTTGGGGGGATGGGGAGGATGGGAGCAGAGGGAGGGAGAGCACACAAGGGAGACAAGGAAGAGAGGAAGAAGGAGAAAAGGGAGAGGACAATGTCGGCGGACTGAGCCGGAGGCTCTAAAGTATGAGGGGTATCCAAAAAGTTAAAGTCTAAAGATCCAACCCAATAGCGGTAGAGCTTTTGCTAGCACCCATCCCTAGGATTTCAAGATCTGAAAAATATGAGGGTCTTTGGCCCCAAAAGACCTCAACTAGTAGCGTCTTCGGATCCCGAATGGGTGTTGACACAAAACCCCAGCGGCTAGGGAAACCACCTGGACCCGGGACCCGGCACTTCGGTTGGCTTCTCCGCGGCGCTGGGCCGAAACGTGAAACCTTTTGAAGATCCCCTGGTCCAACTGAAAGCTCGGATTCCGTCTAACTCCCCACACGCCAAGATGCAAGCAAGTGGTTTTTTCCCTCCGAAAGGCAAAGTTGATGAAACTGATCAGCAGCTGATACAAGCCTGTATCATATCACTAACTACTGATACTGTTAGCTGTCTTGATTTTTCAAAAAGTAGCAATGCCAAAGAGAGCCCCCTGACCTGGATGCTATGGGCTACCAAGCTTCTGTTGCTAAGGAAAGAACCACCAGACTCAACGTCGCACCGGTGACTTGGGTTACCGGAGTGCCCCGAATCCAAGGCGGCGTAATGAACTGGTGGTGTTCATGCTAGGTCCTCCAGTGGACAGCTTAAAAATAAGGGTAGCCTTGTTTCTGTAGCCTATTTTAGTAGGGTCCCGAACCCTCCCAACCGGATAAAAGGGGAGAGAAAGGGCACTACTGGGTGACCTAGCTTGGGAAACCTCAACACCTTCGGTTCCCAAAACGGAAATGGCTCGGACGGCTTGCAGGTGGCAACTCAGTCTGACAGCTGGACACCTCGTGGCACCCGGGAGCGAGTGTCTGATCGCCGGTTGGGGGGGTCGGGGGTTGGTTGAAACAGATTGCACGGTTTTCTACTAGAATCCAGTTTCCAGGCATGGGCTCACCAATAGATGTGTTTAGAAACAACGTTGGTTCGGTATATTAGGCCGGTCAAAAGCCAAGTCATACCCCCAGTCAACATCAACCAATCACCACTAACATAGACTAAAATGGTGGTGCACCTACCAACCAATATGGTAGCATGCATTGGTTTTGACAACCATAGCCATGTCGCATTCTCGACGGGTAACTTGAAGCCTCTAGTTGTTGTTTCAATACGGCGTTCGTTGTTTGACAGCACTCGGTCAACGGAGATTCTCAGATGCCCAGTGGCCATGGGGAAAAAGAAGGGCAGCGCCTTTTGTTGCTGGTTGAGTTTAAAGGGGAACCCTTCCGCAAAAAAGGAAAAAGGGAAGCAACCCACTGGGAAACAAAGGAAAGAGATCTTGCATGCACTTTGCTTCCATTTGGCTAAGACCCCTGGAAAAAAAAATATCCAGTAGTGATAAATTCCTTTTAAGACCAAAAAGGGAAAAGCAAAACATATTCATTTCAGCAAATGGACGTCCTGCCGCCATTGCCGCCCATCCCGCCCCGGCCTGCCGACTTCTGCGGTGCGCTCTTCCCCTGAACTCTCACACTCGGCCCAAATGATAATCGTTTGCTTGTGTCCCGGTCCCATAAAAAAGAGTGCGGATACATTGTCCAGTGCTTGACTCTCCATAAAACCAAGCGGCGGAAAATTAGAAACAAGACTTAAGCAAGAGAAGGGGAAAAAAAAAACAGAGGAAATTCAACACATAATGAGCCAATGGAAGACAACCAAGCCCCAGGAAACGGCGGTGCGCTGCCACTCTATTCCCATGGCGTCCGCAGCGACTCGCCTCGCGGAGCCAAGCACGCCCGCGGCGGCGCCTCGGTCGCTCGGTCGCTCGGTCCTCGGCCCCGAAATTGCAGGCGGCATGGGGGCATGACCCCTTGTTATTTTCAGTATATGGCCCCACTTTCTAGGTGATTTTGGAGATGAGCCAAAAGGTGAAAGGGAAAAAGGTCACCTAAACCAAGAGGTCCGTGTAGGGAGAGCCCAACAATGGATTTCTTGCTTGTTTTTCTGTGGGCTTCATTCTGGAGCCCAAGAGAAGGGGTCCTTCTGTTGGTTTCCCTTGGCTTTCCTTTGGCTTTGGTTGGTTTCTGGAGTCCACAAAAATATGGTTATTCTGTTGGTTTACTTTGAAAAGGAAATTGGAAAACTGTACCCCTCGCCGCAATGCTTCGCCAACGGCCCGTCTCGGGGCCCGAGCCCAGCGCGACCGCCGCGCCGGCCCGCGAACTCGCTGCCTGGCGAGTTGCGGCTGCCCCTTGAGAAAAACCACCAAAAGCAAAGAAACTGAGAATGGTCCTCATAATATATTCAAGAGCAAAGGTCATCTGCCATGGCTTGGTTGACCATGGTCCTAATGATATATGTTGAAAAAGAAACCGTATGGTCCTCATTTAAAGATAATAATATTAATACTGACAATAATAATGATAATAATATATATATATATATAATTAAAAAAAAAAAAAAAAAAAAAAAAAACTACCTTGGTTGAGTATGGTTGGCTCACTTGCCTTGTTATGGGGTGGGGGCCCCGAAGGCGAAGGCGCATCTGCAACTCCCAAAGTCGCCGCCTGAACGGCGTGCGATCCGCCGCGGATCGCAGGTCTCAAGGCTGGGCTCCTCCGGCGCCGGTTTCTCGTTTCGAGGTGCGGAGGTCCAAGCTCCGTGGAGTTTGGCCTACTGAAAGGGGCAGGGCACTTACCAGGCGGGAAAGGACGGCCCCCGAAAAATGCCGCACTTAAACGGGCAGCTACCAAGCGGGTGACGGCTCCCGAAAAATGACCCGCCCGTGGTCGCGAAATCCTCTCTGGCGCCTAAGAAACCCTGGAATCTTCCATGGTTTCAAGGTGGAGCAGGATCTCCACGCCTTACAAACGGGTGGATGACCATCCCCAAGCCCAAGCAACAGGGTGGCTTGACCTTCGCACATATGGCACCTGCACAAATGGAGGGATTCCCATGCAAGTGAACCAACCATAACCAGCATCCCCAATTCACGGCTTTTTGGACAGTACTTTGGGTTTCATGAGAACAAGCAGTTGGGGCCCAGTTGGGGGGGTGCTGGAGCTAATTTCTTCACGACTTTGGGAACCGGCGCTGGTGAATGACGCAACCAAAAGCAACATCTGGCCAAGCTGACCTAAAGGGGCACCTACAATGGTCCGGCATTTGGGAAGCTCTAAAAAAAGAAAAACAAAAAGGAAGAAAACAAGCCTCACTTCCCAAGTTGACTGGCCAAAAAAAGTCCTGGAACTTTTTATTCACCACTAAAATTTGGTCCAAACCCAAAAAGTGTTCAAGGTCCATCAACCCAGGAAGTGAGGAGAAGAACCAAAAACCACCTCGAGCTGGACGCAGACCCCGGGGCCGGCCCGGCCCGTTGGTTCATTCCCGTGGGTTCCCGATCAAAACGCCAGCCTCAAAAAAGGGATGGAAGGAGCCGGCGGCGTCCTTGAGGCCCAAATTCAACGTCCCTCTCGTTGGAAGTTGGAGTCGCCGGTTTGGAGTTCACGGAGTGGTTTCAAATTCACGCGTGCAAGAACCATGGGGTCAAATCCAAATCCAACCCCCCACATTGCCTGATCCATGGCAGTTGATTGTTCAGGCCCGCCAAAAAAAAAGAAGAAAATCTGACAAATGCGTAGAGAGAAATCACCCCCAAGAGCGATCCAGACCCCCCTCTCAAATAAATTGCGCCAGTGCAATCAACTAGCGGTTGATTTTATCAACTGGGTTTGCTTTTCAGCAATCGCTAGGAAAGCGGTGCCGCTGGCAGGGGTTGTTTGGACACCACACCGGTTCAAAAACAGCCCCTCCCCAACAAGTGGGCTTACTTTAAAGGTTTCCTCTTGAACAACAGGGTGCGTTAAAACCAAACATGGGTGTTCCCTTTGGTTTCTTTTCCAGAGCAACCTGTGGGCCTCAAAAAAAAGACTCAAAAAAAGGCACCAAAAGCCTTTCAAAACCACGAGCCACACCCATTTGAAATGGCGGGCCGTGTCGATGCGGGTCTGTCTTTTTAGAGGCTGGTTTCAAGCGAAACAAGGAAAAACACCCGCCATGGGGGTCCGAGTCCCAAACCAAGAGCCTGCCATCCCACCCCCATCCTTGCGAGCACCTCCCCGGCCTCGGAATGACGTGGGGATGCCCCAAAGACCGACTCGGACCCAGTGGTGATCATGGGAAAGACGACAACGAGGGAATCGAAGAATTGCAGGGCTTAGGTGGTGCGAAATGGGTTTCGCAACCATGCACGGTATTAAGGGAACCATGCCCATACTGAAAGGGCGATCGGGTACGTCGGGTAAGTAGATTAGTAAGCCTGGTGCGATAACCCACTTAGGAGACTTACAACCGTGGCTTTTGTGGGTATAACCAGGCTTGGTAACCACCAAGTACAATGCCCCTTTAAGTAAAGGGTATATTCCGGGGGTGGTTTGAGGGGTAACCATCTTAGACTTAGATACTGGCATCTTCGATTCGCCCAGCTAGTAAGTGGTTGGCCACCTGGGGCTGCTAAGCCAAGGTGAACTCCAGTGAAGGGGACGGAAGAGAGCAGGTGTTTGACCCCAGTTGCTGCCAACTTACTTGGCCATGGGTCAAAAGCCAAATCGTACCCCCAGTGAACATCCCGATCCCTAAAGTAGGTCCTAAAATGGGTGGTGCACCTACCCCAATGGTACCATTGGTTTTGACCCACAGCCAATTGGCCGAGCACCCAGGTACCCCCCCCGACGACCACCCTGCTGTCCGCCTTGCCCGGGGGTTCCGCCAAAGAAATGGCCCCTTTGAAAGGTAGAGAAGTAGTCTTCCAGGACCCCTCCAGCCAGGTTGCAGGTTAGCGGGCAGGGTACTTGTTTTGAGTTGGTAGCCTTTGTTTTGTTTTAAAGGGAAACCAAAAGGGAAAACAAACAGAAAACAACATTTTGGGGGTGCCCTAACAAAACACAGACCCACATTTCCCCAAAAATCCATGACCATTCCTACCAATTCCAAGTAGAGGTGCTGGATTCAGATGAGTTTAAACTCCCAATCCATGCTTCTCAACAGTCCCCACCACTAAATCCAAAAAACCTGAAAACCTTTCGCGGACGGCTGGGAATCGCCAAGAAAACCATGGTAACTCAGAGCATCGGTTTCCTTGGGATTGGGTCATCTCCCCAAGCAGGCCCTTCAAGTTTGACCCAAAAGGGGGGGCACTCTCCAAAAAGACGTACCCTCCCAAAGAGCTGTGGGTCAACAACAAAAAAGGCACCCGACATGCAACCCCTGTAGCCCGCGGTCCGGTTTCACTTTGACCACCCAAAATGACTTCGGTTCGACACGCTGCGCTTGCTGAGAATGTGGAGGGCACAGGGTGGGTTGAGACCAAATTTTCACGTACTTGAAGAGACAGACTTAGTAAGTGGGTCACAACCACGGTTACAGTCGACTTGGGAGACATACCACCGTGGCTTTTGTGGGCTATAACCACGCTTGTTTCCCACTTACTGCCTCTCAGACGAAATCCAAGACTGATTCTGGCTTGGTTCAAAGGGAAAACGGAAAAATATCCATGGCGGGCCCGGTCCAAATCCGAGCCGCTCATTGAGAGCCATAAAGGCTCTGGAGCCATGGGAAGGTGGTCTGCATTACTTACAGGGGCGATCGATTCGGTACGTCAGGTCAGTGGGCAACAAAGCCATGGTGACATAACCCGCCGCAAAAGCCATGGTTATAAGTCCCCGAGGAGAGACAAAGACCCTCGGTCTGTGTAAAGAGATCGGTTTGCATCGTTTTTGGTCAGTCAAAGGGAGTGACCCAGTGCCCCTAAAAATGAAAAGGAGGAAGGGCCAAGCCTGAGGGACAGGACATCTTGGCTATGTGTCCTTCTGGTTGAACATAGAGAGCACTGGTTCGGAAACAACTAAGTCAAGCGCCATCTACCTTCTACCACAACCAAAAGGACGCCTACTGTGAACGGATGACATCCTGCACCAGCTTGAAACCATGGTTGACACCATCGTTGGTTGGTATTTACGTTGGGGGATCGAATGATTCCCTTGGGTTTCTGATTTCGGTGGTGCGAGTTCTGGGTTTCGCCACCATCCACAGTTATGATATTGGTGCCTGGAGTCCTCATGACCCTCTAAGAAATTTTGGGTAATGGCCCCGGTATTTTGGGGAATGACCAACCATTTTTTTAAGGGTGAGAAGGAGACTCCAGGTAGGTCTCCAACCGGCAACCTGGGAAAACCAGGCAGTGGCTTCGGCCTAGCCGCCCCTTCGAGAAAAATCTCAACCGGAAGCTCCGAGCGAGCCGGCGGCCACTTGAGGCGCCGCGAGCTGCATCTCACCTGTGAACCATCGCTCAGGGGCTGTCTGTTTCTGATGCTGTTTCTTCGAATTGGTGGGAAAGCAAATTAGCGGGAACTCGCGGAAGCATAGGGGACCCCCCTTTTCGAAGCCAAAAATGCAGTGTTTGCCTTTTGGCTATATTTGACTCGGTCCTTTTGGCTTCCCTCCAACATCGGACTTCGGTGCCGTCTCTTTGGTTTCCCCCAACAAATATCAAAGGGGTACCGCCACCTTGGGGCTGCCGTTCAAAATACGGGGAACACCGAATGCACTTTAACATATGCGTGGCCCATCTTTGTTTTTTTGGGGGGGAAGCCCCTTTTGGCTTGGCTTTGAAGGGAAACCAAGAGGAAAGCCGAACTCCATGATTGGTGCCCGGAAAAATTGAAGACACACCCATGTGCAACAAACCCAAAGTGTTTTGCAGGGTTCACCGTCATGAGAATCCCTTTTGGTGCAAAAGCTTCTGGACGCCGCTGAACCGATAGGCGAAGTGGCCCAAAGGTCAAATGCTGGTCTTGTGCTCCACAGGTTGCTCCCTATCTCCCTGCAGAAACCGTGCCTCTCGTTTACAACGGCTTGTCTGCCGTGGGTGAGGATGCCTTCCACCAGGCCGGAGAAGTTCCAGCCGCGAGGCGCGAGGCCCCCGAAAAGTTTCCCTTCGAGGTTGGTTTAAACGGGAACCCAAGGGACCAAAACCGGAAAAGACGCTCTCTTTGCCCTAAGGCTTAGGGGGTCTAAGTTGTATGCTTTCGCTGGACTCTCTGCCGGTTTAAAACCATACCCCAAGCGACCACGGCCATTCCTGGAATCGAGGTATGCTCAAAGGCATGGAATTAGGAAAACAAATTAGCAGGACTTCGGGGGAAGCGTAGGCTAGGTCCTCCAGTAGAGAGGTTAGAATAAGGGTACCCTTTTTTTCTGTAGTCTATTTTAGTAGGGGAACCCTCCCCCACAAAAAAAAGTCGGTAAAAGGGATCTACTGGGGGACCTAGTAGGTCACCCCGGGGGTGTTCCTTTTGGTGTCCCCCTTTTCGAAAAGCCACAAAAACGGGCTGCCAACTCCAAGGAAGACGAGCCCATTTTTAAGAAGCCGCAACCCCCCCCCCCCCTTTACCCCCCCCCTGCTTTGGGCCAAATAGGTGGGAAGCTTCCCGAAAGCCTTGGGGAAGCTTCCGGAAGCCTTGCGGAAGCTTCCGGAAGCCTTAGGGAAGCTTCGGGAAAAAGGGGGGGGAGATTGAAACAAGGGCGGTCCCCCCTTTTTCCCGAAGCTTCCGGAAGCTTCCCCAAGGCTTCCGGAAAGGCTTCCGGAAAGGCTTCCGGAAGCTTCCGGAAGCTTCCGGAAGCCTTGCGGAAGACTTACGGACTTCTGAAGCTTCGGGGGAGCGGACAGGAAGGGCAGGGGACGGGGAAGCGAGGGGGACGAGCATGAGCGTAGTGGTGGGTGTCATTTTCCAGGCTTGTCGCGCCGCCAGTCAGTGGGGAACCCTTTGGGAGCCAAATACTTTAACAGTGTTATAACACTCCAATAGCAGTGCTATAGCATGTTTCAAGGGGGGGGGTAAGGGAGGGGGGGGTTTATGCTTTCTTAACATTTGGCGAGATGTGTGTCCAGGTCCCTTGCTTGGAGCCCTGATGTCCAGCTTGCGAGCTAGAAGAAAGGCCCATGGCGGAGTTCAGAAATGACTTTCGCACTGAGTCCCAAAACAACAGACAAACAAACAAACAAACAAACAAACAAACAAACAAACAAACAAGCAAGCAAGCAAGCAACAGACAAACAAACAAGCAAACAAGCAGGGATGGGGAAGCAGACGTTTGCGGGAATATGTTTGCTCGTAAGATTTACACATGACTTCCTCCGTATCCCGAATTTGTCTCCCAAGAATAACTCACCCAAAAAAACCACCCCAAGCCTGGGCTAGGCGGCCGCCAGCCGAGGGGAGAGACACTCGAGCTGGCTCGAGCAAAGCGGACATGCGGGAGCGATGCGGGTCCTGTGGCTTGGGATCTTTTTGCAGAAGGCGGAACCCCAAAACCCGGCCCTGGTGCTTGAAGGTTCACCCAACCTCAGTGGGGTATAGCCAGTAGATCGCACCAACCAGATACTCGCGTTACCGTGGTTGTAACCTACTGACCTGACCTTGCTTGAACATCCAAGAAGAGGAATCTGCTTTTCAAAAAGCCCACTTCTTGAGTTCCGTCCGTTAGTTAACGGAGCACATGCTCTGACCTGCATACCGTGGACGATCCCCGGAGGTCCACCAAAGGGTCCCTACTTTTAAAACTTCTGCCCAAACCCGCATCCCCCAACCACTGCTTTTTGGAAAGTACCTGGGAGTTTGGACCTGGGAAAAAGCAGTTGGAGGGGTGCTGAAATGGTCATGCTTCATTTTGAGCATGAGAACTTGTCTCAAAACAGGTGCAAAAGGACAACCCCGACCTGAATCAAAACTTCGGGTAGGTAAAGGTACGCGATAGTCCCAATTGCAAAATGGCTTCGGACATCCGCTCTTTTGATAGTTTTCCCGTGGGTCTAAGTAGCCATGCACCCAGAAGAAGAAAAAAACAAGGGCAAAACAGGTACCCCAAGCAAAACGATGCCCAAATTTGATATAGGGCAACCAGAACTGGGTGTGGCTCAAAACTGCACAACTGGGGTGACGCAGGTTTTAGTCTTTGGTTCCATTTGCCAAGGTGCCATTTTGGTCTCCATTTGTTTGAACCCAAACCAACCATCAAGCCCGCGAATCGGATATCTTTTCTGCCCTCACGGCGCCAGCGCAGAGCTGAGCTGGCGGTACCTGCGGCAAAGAGAAAAGCAACCACATAGCACCGTTGCAGGCGTGTAACACTGTGGTTACGAATTCCTGTAGGGAACCAGGTCTTTTTGCCTGTAGGTTTTACAGGATGGTGAACTAAGCTAATTCGGTGGGACCTCCCAGCTCGTCCAACTCTCAAACTCTTTGACCACCAACTGACCTCCCAGCAACGGGTTTGACCAACTTCCTGCAACTTTGACCTTTGAGAGACGCCCAATTGGTTGGTCAACAGCATTGAAACACAACACCACCGTTGCAGCCGTGTGATACTGAAAGGGGCAAACTTAGTTGGTGAGTAAACCTGGTCATAACCCACTGAACGGAGACTTGCAACCATGGCAAGCGGGCTTTTTCACCAGGCACTGCGATGGAAGCGCAACAGGGATAGCTCCACAAGCCAAACATAATCAGCGGTGTAAGTTAAAAACCCCAAAGAACACAGATTCGTTCATACTGTGGATGGACGAAATCCTGCACCACCTAAGAAACCATGGAATGATGATTCCCTGTAAATACCAACCAAAACAACGGTTTCGAATGATTTCCAAGTGGTGCAGGATTTCGTCCATCCACAGTAGTGTTGAAACATTCCCGGCCTTCAACCTCATGTTCCCACATGTCTCCAGGCCGCGCCCCCGAAGTTGTGAACCCAGCAACTGGTAGATACACAAATGAAACAGTCCCAGCCGATACAACCAATCTTGTTCCCTTATGGATATCTAACAAATGAAAGGAACAACTAACAGAGCATGGGCTCCTCACCTTTTGGGGGGCAAGGAAGCCCTTCGCCGCTCTCAAAACAGACCACTTGCTCCGAGAACATGGGGAATTCTCCCAACCCTAGTTTATTTAGGGGGGGTGGGCTGATTCCCCACTAAACCCAGGGACACCCCCTGTATCAATAAACTGGGGTTGATTAATATGGGTCATCATGTCCTTGTTCACCCCCCCTACACTGTATCCTGTGCTTGGCCCCGGGCAGTTTCCTGCTTGAACCCCCCCTCCCCCCGCCTCTCCAGCAGATTTGTGTACTCAACAAGCCCATCTTCTTGCCGCGAGTACGAGAAATGCGCCGCCAGCCTCAGCGCCGGCCCTTTCCCCAAAGTGCCTTCGTTCACTCCTCGTTCCGCTCCTTCTTCGGTCATTGTTTCTTCTAAGGGACACCCAACATACCAAGATGTCCCTTTTTGCCCTTTTTTCCCTTAACACGCTTCGTTCAATGGGTCTCAGATAAGATGTAAAAACTGTGCAAAAATGTGTTTTCTTGTGAAGTCGTTGTTCCGCTTTTAGTTAAATGCTTACCCAAACGCGAGACCAACCGAAAAACCAAACCGCCCAAGGACTCCAAGGGCTTGCGATCCGGCCCCCAGATCTCGCCCGGAAGCCCACAAGTTGCTTGACCCCCGCGGAAACCCCCCTTTTTTCTGGACAACACACCGGAACCCTCGAGAAAAAGGGGGGGGGTTGTCACGGGCCCTTGATGGCTTCCCGGTTCACTGCGCACCCCGGAACGACACGGGCGCCGAAACTCCTCGGCACCATGTTGGAGTTGTACAGCGGGTTTGAGCCCCTGAAGATTTGCCTGGCCTTTGAAAATCCCAGGACAAATCCGTCAAGACGGAACACCTGTCCAGCACCCCAACTCGCCTGCCTTTGTCCCAAATTCAAAGTGCCCTCCCCCCCAAAAGGAACTCGGTTTTCCAAAACCCTTTTCTGTCAGCTTCCACGATTGTTGGAGGGAGCTCCCCAGTGCCAGTTTCAGACTGTTGAAGTTCATTTGAACAGGTTGCTTGTTTTGAGTTTCGGGTGTCCGCAGCTTGGTGGCTCCCGCTTAAGCCCCAAAAGCAGTGGCTTGTGAACCATCAGTCCGCATTCCGAGGTTCCGAGGTTCCGCGCGCGGAGCCCACGGCGCAGGACCGCTTCTCTAGCCTGATCAGGAGAACAGGGCTGGGGGAGGGGGAGGTGAGGGAAGGAGGGAGGGGAGGGGGAGGGAGGTCCAAGAAGCACTAAGTAAGGCATTAAGGGTTTAGGGTTTAGGGTTTAGGGTTTAGGGTTTAGGGTTTGGCATTAAGGGCTTAACAAGGGGTTATTTGGGCTCCCTCCCTCCTCCCTGCCTCCCCAGCCCCGCATGAGGAGAGCGATCTAGCCTTCAAAACCGAACCGGAGTGACTTTGATGATGCTAAAATCATGAAGCCAGGGTGACAAAAACTAGGCACCAGTTTGGAGGTGGCTTAGGCTAGAGGTCTTCATTCATGCCGACTGGTACTCGTGCAGGATTTGGCATCGATTGTTTCCAAAGCAAATATGGGAGAAATATGTTTGAGGGTACTCAGGTCAGCAAATGCGACGGTTTGAACCACCAGCGCCCATGGCTCGCAGACCACGCCCCCCAAGAGACTCGACGAGCTCTCCGACTCTTCGCCCCGCGCCTGGCAGGATGCACCACCGAGAGCTCCTTCTCGTCGTCCTCAGCCAGATCCTCCGGCACCGCGTCCGCCACGTCCTGCGAAGAACGCGCGAGGCGCGGCGGGCCGAATTGGCGCCCCAGTTCAAAAACCAGAAAGTCTCCTGGGTCAGTGTGTGGTTGAAATGGAGCCTTCGAATCTGTGATACAAAAAGGGCTTAAGATACAAAGCTAGTTGACGTGAAACCCCTTTGGAGATTCGACTGTGTACGGGTCAAAATTAAACCACCGGGAGACCGCAAGCTTTAGCCTTTGTTTCCAGTTATCAAGGTTCCATTTTGGGTACCTATTCTTGACACACAGTCGAATCTGAATCTGCCGGGGAGACACCCTTGTTGGGTCCCACATGTTTCTGCAGGGGGAAACCAAGGAAAACCGCAAAATGTTCGCTGAGGATCCATGAAGGGATGAATCAACCTAGAAAAAATTAGACGGGGAAGACCCAAACAACAAGAGAAGGCTTGCCTTTCAAATTTTGAAAATATGACAACCCCGGATCAAAATAACAGGAGCGGTATACGTGAAAAAGGCACAGTAAGCAGTCAACCAAACATGGCTGTGGGTCAAAACCAGGCGACCGCAGATTTTAGTTCATATTTCCATTTACCAGGGTTCAATTTTGGGTACCCATTTTTCCCCCGCAGCCACATGAGAAAGGGCCCGGCCTGTTTACAGGGATGCACATTTACCCTCTTTGCCGTGGTGTTTTTTCTTTGCAAGGAACCCCAAGCCTGGCAATAGGAAAAGCGAGCCCCAAGCATGGAAGGACCCATAGGACATCTGCGCTGCCCGCAAAAGATCCCCCGCTAACAGTGACTAACTTTTAGTGGGCTAAATGGAAACTACCACTAAACAAAAAGCTAAAAGGCTAAGGAACCGGATGGCTGGGAGCCACCAAGAATCAATTGGACCAGGAAATCGGCAAAACCTCTTTAGCCACGAAAACAGCTTCTGGTTTTGACCAAACCCATTTCTTGTCCATCCATAACCTCGTCAAACAGGTCCGCCGTCCAAACAAGTGACGCTCGACATGCGCTCGAGCGAAGAGCTGCAACGAATCATGTCCAGACTCCCCTCTCAAACTCACCAAAACAACTGGCTGCAGGCGCCGCCCCCCACCACAAAAAGACCTGTACCCCAGTACAAACAACACCCAACAAAAAATGGCCATCGCCTCCGGTCAACATCCCCCCCCTTTCTCCCCCCCCCCCAAAAAAAAAACTCCCTCCCTTTCCCCCTCCCCCTCCCCCCCCCTTCCCCCCCGCCCTAAAAAAAAACAAATCCCTCCCGCTCCTCCGCCTTGAAGGCGATCAGGTTGATGCTCCTGGAGCGGACCGCTGGCGACGAGCTGGTCTCTCGCCAGAAGGCCCCTGGCTCGGGGCCTCCCAACTCAGAAGGCTGTGGGTCAAGATGAAACCACCAGGATATGGACCGCAGATTCGAGTTCAGATCTCCATTTACCTGGCTTGAAAGTTTGGGTACCCATTTCTGACCAGCCAGAAAGCTGGATACCCTCCAGTTGCTTTTGCGCCACCTGGCAAAAATGAGAATACATTCTCAGTAGTGAGATCGATTCCCTTCAAAACCAACAAGGGAAAATAACAAATTGTCTGAAACGCAACAAGTGGGTTGGTCTAGAAACAGGAAAGAATCGGAACCCTCACAACTTGTGTGGTTTCCTAACAGGTTCCCCTTTTGGTGTCCATCCAAACATAAAACCCTGAAACCCAAGTCAGGCCTCCGCACTCAGGCCTCGCGGCCTGCCTCTTCCGGCCCTTTTGCCTCGTCTTACGGGTCCCAGCCTGAAATGGTCGCCAGGAGAAGCTGAACCCCGCAGGGGACACAACACTTCTGGTCCTCCAGATTTGAGAGGATAGAATAAGGGTACCCACTTTCTTCTGTATAAGGGGAACCCTCCCGATAGAATCCCTTTCAACTCAAGGGAACATAAACCATCTTTTTTCTGTAGTCTATGTTAGTACGGGAGCCCTCCTCCAAAAAAAAACGGTAAAAGGGCACTACTGGGGGACCTAGACTTCAAGGGCGAGCTCATTGTACCCTCCTGATGTTTTTTGCCCAGACCATTCGAAGCATGGACACTCGGTCCATCTGGTGTGTGGCAGCGGAAGGAAGCGATCGCCTGTGCACGCGACGGAAGTTGACCGGGTCGAAGCAACTTGCGGTCGCTATGATGTGGGCCCCCTTTTTCTTCAAGACCCACTGGCTCAACTTGAAACCATAGTCCAAGTGACGAGATCTTTGAACATCATACACCATTTTTTGCATGGGCAAAAGAAACGAACGTGTCGAATCGCCCCTGTCTTTTCCCCAGGCTCTTGCACCGAAAACGAGAGCAGCCTCCCGGAGCATGCCGGCATCCCAACCATTCTTCCAGAATCCAGCATCTTCCAGCATTCCCGGCATCTCAAGCATTTTCAGAATCCAGCATTTCAAGTCATTCCAGCATCACCAGCATTTCTAGCATCCCCTGCATCCCCTGCATCCCCAGCATTTTCTGCATCCCCTGCATCCCAAGCACTTTCTGCATCCCCTGCATCATCCCCTGCATCCCAAGCATTTTCTGCATCCTCTGCATCCCAAGCATTGTCTGCATCCCCTGCATCCCAAGTGTCTCCAGCATCGCCTGCATCTCAAGTATCTCCAGCATCACTTGCATCCCAAGTACATCCAGCTACCCCAGCATCTGCAGCATTCCAAGCATTGCCACTATCCCCATCCACAGCACCCCCAGCACCCCTGCCTTCGCATTCTGGAGCATAACCAGTCGCCAGACCTTTCAGGTTAAAAGGAAAACCATTTGGGGCCGGTGTTTGCCAAGAAAGCCGGCCTGCGCACGGGCCGTACTCTGCTTTGTTCGACAAACCCAATTTAAAGGGGCAGGGTGCCAGCCCGTAGGAAACCCATAACATCATGCTTTTGTGGCTTGTAAACCAGGCTTACCAACCACTTCCTAAGTGCCCTGCACTCATAACCCTGGCTTTTGTGGGTCTAATTCACCCGGCTTAACCCCCCTGCCCCTTTAACACTCCTTTCTTTTGAGACGCAAACCGTTCCCCCCCCCCTCCCTCCCCTCCCTCCCCTCCCACCCCTCCCTCCCTCCCCTCCCTCCCTCCCTCCCTCCCTCCCCTCCTCCCCTCCCCTCCCTCCCTCCCTCCCTCCCCTCCCTCCCCCTCCCTCCCCTCCCTCCCCTCCCTCCCCTCCCCCCCCCCCAAGTCCCAGGCCCCCAACCCAAGTTCCGACCCAGGCCCCCCTGCCGTCGAAGGTCCCGTGCCCCGAGGCGTGGAAGTCGTGCCACCCGAAGTCGTAGGCGCACGCCGTGCCGTCCTCCAGGCGCGACCTGACGGATCACTCCGTCGCTCGCTCCGCTGGTCGCTCGGCTGCCCGTGTTTGTTGCACGCTTAGGGTTGACCTTAGGGTTGACCTTAGGGTTGACCCCCCCCCCCGCCCCGCTTGGACGGGAAGTCAAAAAGGAGGTGGTTCAGTTGTTGTTTTTTTTAGGCGTGGGTTAAACATGATGACACAAGGAGCCAGCCCAACCCTGCTCCTCAGTGGAGCCTAGGGTGGAACCTTGGGGTTCAACCCTAGGGTTGACTGGTTTTCCCAGCATCCCACTCTGGAAAAAAGAAGTTTCCCTCGGCCTCTTACAGAGGTTGCACATGTCCTCCTTCTCACGCCCCAGAATGGCAGGGACCCAATTTAGCAACCTTTGAATCCCAGGATGAAGTGAACCCACGAAAACTTGCTTCTTTAATTTATGGATTTGCTTGAAAGTGATGGGATGTAGAAAAGGAAAGGGGGGGAAGACTTGGCAAGGAACCCAACAACTCCAGCGCAGTGAATCGGCAAAAGCCTACGCTAAACCTACCCCAAACCAACCTTGAACTTTCTTTGAAACCGACGACCACACCGCTGAACGGAATACATGGCAAACCTGCTTCCAAGTATTCTGGATTTCGGTGGGCGCCAAAAGCAAACAACCAAGCTTACTTGGATGTTCGGCCAAGTTTGTAAGTGGTTGGCCACCTGGGGTATAACTCACTAATAACAAGGTTGCCTCTACTTAGTGGACGTATAAACAGGCTATAACTTAAATTAACAACTTACTAACTTGGCAACGAACACCCAAGTACTATTGCTGCATTCCGGCCGTTTCCGCTCTTCAGACCTTGGAGAACATCGGTCGCCCCACGTCTTCCCTAAAAGATCCAGTCATATTGCCCTTTGCTCACCGCGGGATCATGACTCCAACAAAAGCCAACCCGTGGAAGACCCTTTTTTTGTGACAAAATCAATGCTTGCTAGGCATACCCTCTGTTGGAGATGGGTAAACTAGAGAGTGCGCCGCTTTTGTGGGAAATTTAAGGAGTCCCCCCAATTGCTGATGGACAAAATCCTGCACCGGCTGGTAGGTGGTTTGTCCCAGTGTTCATAGAGTTCCTCCATCCCAGCTCAGTGCCAAACTTCGGGTAAAAGGCCTATTGAAAAAAAGGCGTTCTTTTTTTGTGATTTGCTGCTGATTCTACCAACAAAAACAGCAGTGACCCTGGTAGAAAAAGAATTGGAACCCGCTTTTATCTCCTGTGGATGGACGAAAACCAATTCGCACCGTTCAGCAGCCCTGAAATGATGAATTCCCCTGTAAATACCGACCAACAATGGCTTCAACCATGGTTTCATTTCGTGGTGCGAACGGATTTCGCAACCATCGACAGTAGTATTTCAATTCAAAGCTGGTAGGAACCGAACCATCTAATGTTGAACCCATATCAACCGCTGTATATTAATAGGGGGTGCCCATTCTGGGCGAAATGTGGGGGCCCTCAGTACCACTTTTGTAGGGACAACCCCCCCCCATGAATAGACTGGTTGGCTGATTAATATGGGGTCAACATTAGGGAATTCCTACCTGGGGGAGTGGTCCAAGCAAAAAGGTGGTGTAAGGCTACTTAAAGGGGCATTGTATGTTGGCAGGTCGTATTAAATTCAAAGCTGGGTAGGAACGGAAGCACCTGCTTAAGTCGGAAAACCCCCCCCATGAATAAACTGGTTGGTTGATTAATATGGGCTGCGCTCAGATCCCCCGCTAAAAGTTCAACTTTTAGTGGGTTAAACCAAAAGGCTAGAAGGCTAACGGGATGGCTGGGAGCCACCAAGTAGTATGGGCTCAACCTTTTCGGCTCGGAAAGACTCCGTGAGCTTTCGGGCACTGGGGTTCCCGGCAGAAAGCTCTCGTGCATCCAGGCGCCGCATTCCCAGGTGGACCACACGCATTGGCTCTGTGACTTCCTCGGTTCAACTCGGCCCTGAGATCCGATCCCCCGCTGAAAGCGACGAGAAGCTTTGGGTGAAACTCGGACACTCACCCACTGAACCGACTAAGATCTAAAAGGCGAAGTTGAACCGGATGCCTGGGCTTGCCACCAAGTAATGAAAACGAAAGAAAAGCACGGCACACGAGATGAGCTGATGTTAGCGTGGATGAGGTTCTTAAACACACAGGCCGTTCTCTTTTTGTTGAGGGTACCCCTGCTTGGTGGTTTACAGCGTGGAAGATATCAGAAGAATTCAAACAAAGTCAAACATGCGCCGCGCATACTGAAAGTACAACCCGCTAATAGTTGTCGCAACACCCAAAACTCACAGAATCAAAATGGTCTACCCAAATCCATGTAAGAAAAACTCGAAGGCGGATATCCGCACCATTTTCTGGCTGGGATCATCTCTTCGTATCCTTCATCTACCCGGGTTCTGATTGCAACTCAATTGACACCCCTGGTCCCAAAAGAAGCCTCATTTTGAGCACCCATAACCTTTTCGTTGAACATGGATGGCCCTCGTAGATCTTGAAACAGCCAGGTCAATCAGGTCAACCAGGTCAACCGCCGTCAGTCTTCTACCACAGCCAAAAAAGGACCCCTACTGTGGATGGATGGAATCCATTTCGCACCACCCAAGAAACCCGGATGTCTGATGATTCCCCTGCAAATAGCAACCAACGTTATGGTTTCAACCAAGGATTCCAAGTGGTGCGAAATGGATTTCACAACCATCCACAGTATGGCTAGACTCTACAATTCCACCAATCTTGCGGCCCCTAGGTCTTACCCCACGCGCCTGCGCTGTTAAGGGGAGTTCGTTTTGGTTTCCCCTCGACCAAAAGCAAAAAAAAAGAAAAACATCACTTCCTGTTGGTTGTCTTCAACCAAAAGCTAGAAGGACCAAATGCAAAAACTCCCCGGTTGGCTCCCTTCAACCAAAAACCCGAAAAGCCAAATTTCCGGTGACCGAAACACCCGAGCCTCTAAAACTTGGAGGAGTGGCTCGTTCCGAATTCCCTTCAGTCATTTTCTTTGGTTGTGGGGTTCTTAAGGGGGGGGGGGGGTAGGGGGGGGTAAGGGGGGGGTAAAGGGGGGGGGGGGGTAGAAGGGAGCCCTCCGGAGGCCGGACCCCCGAACATGGCGCGGAGTTGGCTCTCCTCTTGGCTCTTTCAAAACCACAAGGGTAGAGCGCCCAAAGAGCCTGGAACCAAAAGAATTCACCTTTTGGGGCCATGACTAAACAGGGACCCAAATGGCCAGGGGTCAGAATTTCATACCTCCAATAAACATCCCAATCCCCACCAAGAAAAGTTCTAAAATGGGTAGTGCACCTGCCCCAAAATGGGATGCCATTGGTGTTGACCCACAGCCAAATTGGAAAACCAGAAGGTGAAAACTCGGTTGCTTTCTGCTCCCCTGCTAAAAGTTTAACTTTTATTAGTTTAATGGGAAACCCACTAGTTGGCAAAAAGTTAAAGTCCTAACATGCAAGCAAAATGCAACAAAGCAATGGTCGGCGTCGGGCAAGTGAGCCGAAAACGAACTCCCTCCTCCTTTTCCGCGCGAACCGAAAAAGCCGCCGCTGCTTTGGGCGGGAGAACTGCGGATTTCACCCTCACAGGGCCGTAGTGGAGGAATCCACGCCTCCGATTCGCGAGAAGCGAAAACCGATCATCCAAGTGGGCTGCCCTCAAATAACCAGCTAAAAGTTTAATTTTAATGGGTAAAATAGAAACTACCACTAAACACTACGCTAAAAAGCTAAGGAACAGCATGACTGGGAGCCACCAAGCTAAGACCCTGAAGCTTTCAGCTAACAAAGAACTGTTGTTGCTTTGACTGCTACGGGTGATCAAAGTCAGAAAATGGGGGGGGGGGGGGGGACTGTTTCCTCAAACCTACCACTGAACCGTGGGTGGGGCCAGGGAAAGTGTCAAGTAAATACCTGGCTCCCTCTTGAAGTCAAGGGTCTGGTTGCTTCACATGTGCTTAAGCAAGTCCTTTTGGGTGTGTCATCTCCCGATACCTGAAGGAGGGGGGTGGGGGTCCCCAAATTCCACGTAAAAGAGTGGAGCCACAAATGGAATTCCAGGGGTCCCCCCCTCCCCCCAAATTCCATTGGTAAGGGGTGGGGATGGTGTCTCTTTTTTCGAGGGAGCCCTTTTTTGGGGCTGTTTCTTCTAAAGGGCACCGACCCCATTTTAGGGGCCGATTCCTATTTTGAGACAAGCCGGTTGTGCTCCAGATCGAAGAAAAAGGGACCCCGCGATGATGTCTTTGGAACTCCAAGTCAACATTTCATACGGCCATGAGAAATGGCCCCCTCATGAGGCTTCAAATCACAAAATCTGGCCAAATATTCCTTCCGGTGTCCATGTCCTGCTATTCCCTGGTTTGGACGCGACATTCTGAAGCCAAAATTCCCGTGCTCAAAGTGGATCTGGAGCCCCCCAACCTCCAGAAGGCTTCCTCAAGGCGCCACAAAAACCACCCGTCGACTTTTGGGTAGAACCACCTCTAGGTCCTCCAGCAGAGAGGATAGAACAAGGGTACCCCTTTTTCAGTAGTCATTTTTAGTACGGGAACCCTCCCCCCAAAACGGGTAAAAGGGCACCACTGAGGGACCTAGACCTGAAACGGCCCTCAAAAGGCGTGTTTCAAAGAGCTCCAATCGCCGACTTCCCGGGTCTGGGCTGATGTTTCAATTTCCTCTTGTGGAGGGGGGGCTCTTGCCGCTTTGGAGCCCACTGGGGTTTAGTGGGGAACAAAGGACTCATCTCCCGAAAAGGTCAAGTCAAGCAGCCAAGCCAGGGAAGTCGCGACGGAAAATGGGAACCTACCAACAGTCTGCCACCAGCATCAGTTGGCCCGAAAGATTCCTTGAAACTCAAGATCAAAGAACGAATTCGACGAAGGATAAACCCTGTCCACTTGCTCTTTGGGCGCGCAAAGCCTCCCACCCCCCCCTCCCTTGAGAACCCACCAACCAGCTTGGCCTCGGAAGTGTTGGAAGAAGCCTTTGCAGAGGTCGCGAAGGGCTTGCACGTCGTCTTGATGCGCTGACTCCCTGGCGCTCCCCGACACAAAGTCAGTCATAGCGAAACACCGGCCGCGAAAATACGTGGGCGTTTTGCGGCAAGGTTTGCACGGAAAACACCTGTCTCGTTTGTTTGCCACAGATCCGCCGGCATTGTCCGGCGTGTCGGATACCTAAGAGAGGATGGAGGATTACCCCCTCCCAACCCCCCCCCCCCCGCCCCCCAACCCCCTCCAGCTGGTTCTCTTCAAATCCCCAAACCCTTGAAGGGCCACTCCCTAACATTCGCTTTCCTTCCGGGGGATGCGAAAATTTCTGATCCAGAGCCCGAGAAGTTCCACACCGACTCCGTTTGTTTGATCCCAAGGTAGACTGAACCGGGGAATCGATTTCCCCAGGCGGAATCCAAAAGGAGAACCCGGGCCACACAGGGGATCCCAGAAAGAAGGAATACCCAACTAGGTGGTCCAAACCTATGCAACATGGCTCCATGTCAGTCCCTTGAATCGGTGAACTCTTCATTTGTGTGTTGCCCCCCCAAGTTAAGACCACACCTCCCCAACACATACCTCCCCAACACCCGTCCCCCCCATCCGACCCATTTCCCCGCAACCCCGCAGCCTCACTGGGATGTTCAACCAACTGAGTATATAAGTAGGTTATAACCATGGCTATCAAGAGGACCCCTTCCACCCCAAAACCTTCCCCCAACCTACCAACCCGCCTACAGGAGTGCATGGCCCACTGTGGCGCCCCGATGTCCACCGTGCGGATGCCCAGCTGCGAGGACAGCAAGGGCCCGATGGTGGACCCGCAGGGACAGTCGTTCCGCACCGAGAACTCCTCGGAAAAAACGGGGAAGGAAAAAGAAGCAAAAAAAGAAACGGAGAACAAAAAAAAGAGAACATGCGGGTTTCTGAGGGGGATGTGACCAAAGTTGGACCTGTTCTGTTGGGGGAATTTGACAGGTTTCTAGAGGGGAGTTTGATCGGTCGAATCAAAGCCGGCTCTTGATCCCCCGTGGAGTTTTCGTGGGAAATGCGGACAGGCCATGGGGCCCCATGGCAGAACCAAAGAAAAAGGTGTCCAGTTCAGTGGGGTTCAGCTTGACTTGAACCCCAGCCGGCCTTGTCACAACTTGGCAACGACCAGGGCCATCGTCCAGCTCAAGTTTTGGGCTCATCCCCATGGAAGCCACAGAAATGATTGGCCCCTTTCTGAAGGAAAAAAAGCGCCATGCTAGTGGACAGGAGTGTACCCGTTTCAAGCGGGGGGGGAGCTGTGCCTACTTTGACCTTGACCTTGGAACGGGGCCGCTTGAGAATCAGAATAGGATGGCCGGGGGGGGCAAAACGTCATGCGAGCAGGCTACAAGACCTTGTATCTGACCTGCTGAGTTTACCGGAAAAAAAATGACTTTGGCGAGGCCCGAGGCCTCAGGGCTTAAAGCTCGGGGAAATTGGAACCAAACGCAAGATCCTTCCCCGCTTGAACTTCCAAACATCCAAAGGGAAAACACAGATTTCTTTTTCAACCTATAAACTTCCAAAAAGGGATGTCCCTATGTCCGAAATCCCAGGAGCCAAAAAGATCAGACAAACGCTGCCGATGTTTTTTTTTTGTGGAATCACCTGCGTCGCTTTGGAGCGGGCGACTCGTCCCCCGTATGCAACACCATGATTTGGTGGAATCCCCTACCCTCTCCCCAACTAACATGGCAGCTGACAGGCTGTCCCAACAAAAAATACGGATCTTCCAGGTACCCTCCCCAAATGCCATGTTAGTCGGAACAGAATTTACACGTGTCCATCATAGGTGTCCTTTTTGGCTGATTTGGTCGAACTACCAGGGCCATGTCATGTTAGCGGAAGGGTCACTCCCTCGAAAGCTCAGGGCTCCTGCATCGGGACCTCTGAGAGCTGCCCTAGCCTCCGCACCATCTGCGCCAGCAGAGGCCTAGGGGGATGGGATGGATGGCAGCCTCTTGAGTCACTTGCTCAAAACCCGGTAATGGTCGTAGTCCCAGGACCATGCTTCAAGAATTAAGAAGCCGGAGATCCGCAGCTACTATGGCAAGGGGAGTGTCCCTTACCATCCTTCATCTACCCGAATCGGTTTTGAGCACATGGCTCACTTGGATGTTCAAAGCTTTGGCAGCCTCCACATCCCCCCCCTCTTCAGGCGGAGGGGGGGGTGGGGGGTTTCCCTAATTCCATTTGTCTCGTCTTCCCAAGGGAGAATGGAATAGTGAATGGAATTCCAGGGGTCACCCCCCTCCTCCACTTGAATCTTTGAGGGGCTGGGAATGCCTCCGCTTTGGCACCCCGCAGCTGTGACTCCCACTTGCTTTGCCAAACATGTACCCAAAAAAAAAGTGGAGGGTAGGCTTGACAAGGGCCCCGGCAGAAACGGGCGAAGGATTCGAGGAATCGAGGAATCAAGGATTTGAGGAATCGAAGAACCGAAGCATTGAAGAATCGAGGAATCGAAGAATCGATGCCCCTCCTTGTCAAGCCAGGCCTGAAAAGAGTTAGTATTTGGAGTAGGGGGTGCTTGGATATTAGCTGCCAACGGCAGGTAAGTAGGCCAAAGTGTCCAACCCTTGGTATGGTACAAAAAAGAGCTGCTTTTCTGTAGCCCCCCGCTAAGAATGAACAGAACCAACAAAAACACAAAAACATAAAAACATGCCAACAACAGTGAAGCTATAACCATGCTTATAACTAGGGTAACCGGGGGTTGGCAGTCGCCCAGTTGGAACCTTGTGGACTTTGAGCGTGCAAAAAGGCCGGTATCGGTTTGCTTTTTGTCACCCGGGTGTTTGGCATCTTTGCAAAGCCCGAGCCAAATGAGCGGCTTGCCTTTAAGCCGACCAAGCCACAACCATATGGGCTTGTCTCAAATTACATGAACCCTCAACATGGGAGGTATCTGTTTGCCATCCCTTTAAACAATCCCAAAAAGCGGTAGCCTCAACAAAAAACCACACCCACATGGACCCACACAAGGACCCACCCAAGGACGAAGTCAAGGGGCGTGGTGGCGTAGCGCTGGTTGCTGTTGGTCTTGATGACGATGCCCTTGCCCAAAATCGGCTGGTGCTGCGCCTGGTGCTTGCCTCGACATGCGAGAAATCAATGCTGGGAGGGTTCTTCGTTTTGTCGAACCGATTTGTTTGATTGTTCCGTTGTTTGTTTGCAACGGAGCAAATGGGTTTACTTGGAGGTTCAAGCAACTTAGTAAGTAGGATACAACCGTGGTCACAACTAGGGCAGCTGGGACGTCTCAATGAAAAATCGGATCCAGACGAAGCAAAGAGGCGGCCTCAAATATGGCAGGATGTTTCTATGTTGAAAGACACTCAGCTCAGCTGTTGCAAACATTCCGAGCCATTTGGTGTCTCCTTTGTTCTCCACTTCAGTTAGCGTGAAACAAACATGTGGGTGAAATGATTGTTGGAGGGAAGTTTGTGCGTGTGTCAATGTATGCGGGCCAACAACATACGGTTTTCCTGTTGATGTCCCTTTAAGCCAACCTTAAAAGAAGCAGCAAAATCATGCGAGCCCGGTTGTTGTTTAAAAATCGAAGCCGGACATGGAATTTTGAGACGTTCCTGCCTTGAATACCCGGAAACCAAGGAGCCTTTGGGCATACGAAGCAAACCCACATAAGACTTGAAAACAAGTCTAAAAAGAAAAACACCTAGTCTTATTTGGCCGAACCAAAAAAAAAAAACACAAAGGCCAGGGATGTCAAGCAAACACCCCCACACCCCCCCCCAAGCCATCCCCCGGGTCCAACCAAACAAAAAAGGCGCCGCGCCCGACCCAAAGACCCGGCGCGCCGCTTTGGGAGCCACGATGCCCACGTAGTTGGGATGGAGCCCGTGGGCGCAGTCGCAGCTCAGGAGGAAACTCCTGGAAACCGCCTGAGAGGCTCGGTCTGGTTGGCTGGGTGGGCTCAGTGGGTAGGCTAGGTAGGCTAGGTAGGCTAAACAGATAAACAAGTAGATAGGTTACATAGGTAGGTAGGCAGGTAGGCAGGCAGGTAGGTAGGTAGGTAGGTAGGGTAGGTAGGTTTTGTAGGTTGGTTGGTAGGTTGGTGCATTGGTTCATTGGTTCATTGGTTCATTGGTTCATTGGTTCATTGGTTCATTGGTTCATTGGTTGGCTGGCTTGTTGGTTGGTTGGTTGGTTGGTTGGTTGGTTGGTTGGTTGGTTGGTTGGTTGGTTGGTTGGTTGGTTGGTTGGTTGGTTGGTTGGTTGGTTGGTTGGTTGGTTGGTTGGTTGGTTGGTTGGTTGGGTTGGTTGGTTTGGTTGGTTGGTTGGTTGGTGGGTGGGTGGGTGGGTGGGGTTGGTTGGTTGGTTGGTTGGTTGGTTGGTTGGTTGGTTGGTTGCTTGCTTGCTTGCTTGCTTGCTTGCTTGCTTGCTTGCTTGCTTGCTTGCTTGCTTGCTTGCTTGCTTGCTTGCTTGCTTGCTTGCTTGCTTGCTTGCTTGCTTGGTTGGTTGGTTGGTTGGTTCAGTTTCGATCAGTTGGTTGGCAATTCAGTCACACCTTGGACCAAATGCCCTGTCATGTACCTCAATTTGCAAGCGGCTTGGGGTTGGATGCAGCTTCCTCACGTGCAATCAGGAAATCCACCTTGAGACCCAGTCTTACCCAGCTGACTAATAAAGTATTGGGAGTATACTGCCTTACCAGCATATAAGTTGGTAGTATGCAAGCATCCATACCTCCAAAACCGACAAAAGGAGGCCGAACATAGACCCGACATCTCCCGTTGCATAGGGAGCCATTCCGGTCTGGCTGATACGGTTTGAGGTCCAAGTCCTGCAAAACGAGACCTGCGTACACAGTCTGCACATTTCCTTGAGCGGCTGAACATGTAATTCGCAGGCCGTACTTTCCACTTGCGAGTGAGGCGTTGGTAGGTTCACAATGCGTGCTTCATTCCAGGTCGGATACGAACCATGCCAGCTCCATCCCAGTTCCTTCCTATACCCCGAGGTTCCCTTTGTACGCTCTGAGGATGTACTTGGCCGAGGTTTCGACCACCGCAAGGGACTAGGATGATTCTGGCCGTGGTGAATTTCTTCAGGGCCATCCGTAGAGGGAATGCTTCCCCGGAGGAACATCATCTGCAAAGATGTCTTCAACAGTGAGGCTCGGCACCTGCCAGCACATAAGTCACAATCAAAACCCGGTACTAAAACGGTCTACCCGGAACCATGTAAGGAATTAAGAAGGCGGATATCCGCAGCTATCCATGGCAAGGGGATTGTCCCTTGCCAACCTTCATCTACACTAACCGGTTTTGAGGACGTGGCTCATTTGGGTATGGGTCAAAAATTGAAATCATCTGTCGCATTGACCAGGCTTCCCAAAAAGTTGGTGCCTATTTTTTGACCCACCGCCATTTATTCCCCGCCAAAAAGGAGCCATGCGGAGAGGGCCGACGTCACGGCGTCCGAAGCTCGGCGGGGCCTGCGCCCAGCTGCTGCCCAGGGCCTGCCGAAGCCGAAGGACTTGTCGGCGCTCGGCGCCCGGGGTTTGGGAAAGGAGAAAAAAGGGCGGAAGCCAAGAGGCCAGGAAGCCAAAAAGCAAGGAAGCGAGGGAGCCGGGGAGCAAGGGAGCAAGGGAGCAAGATACGATCATGGCCTAACTGATTAGAATGATTAATCTCTGGAATCGCCTTTATGGCTAGGCTTCTTTCATATCCTCATCTTTTATTTTCATTTAATTGTTTATCTTGGAAGTAATGCTTTTTGTCTTCTCTTTAGTATTATCTGGTTTCTTTTATATTCTTGTTTATTATTTTCATATTGTTCTTTTTCTTTTATTATTTTATTGTAATTCTTATATTTGGATTTGAAGATGAAGGTAGACTATAGAGATGACACGAGAGGAAAGTAAAGTCACTTATCATCTTTTGTTTGTCTTTTCCTTTATAATCCGCTCTCTCGTGACTTCTGGAGGACAAGGATAAAGACTCTAACTCCCGGCCGTTCCCTCCGGTCTCCGGGCTACCTCAAAGACTCAGGAACCAGATAGGAGGTGTAACGAAGGAAATGGATCCATTCAATATCCTACTTTTGGAGAAATCTCTTTCCTATTGCCTAAGCCTGTGGGCTACGTGTCTTCAAGAGAAGCAAATTATAGAATGTAGAAGTGATAGAAGGACCTGAAAGGGACTGGGTTCAACATCATTCTCTTTTCATGTTGTTTGTCTTCTTATCTTATTTCTCTTTTCTTTAGGTTGTAGATTAATAGCTTTTATATTTGGTTTCTTTTAGTTCTCTTTCTATATCTCTTCCTTTCATTTGTCTATCATTCACTTACCATCTTTCCTGAGATTTGGATAGGAGAATAACATGCCCTCGCCGCTGGCTCCAAATGCCTTTAGGATGCTGTGTGAGAGATATTGATGAGAACATGAGGTGGAAGGTAACGACCAACCGTCTATCACTTACAGTCTATCATTAAACCCTACAAAATACCAAAATAAACACTAAAAGAAGCGAAAGAAGAATACAAATGAAAACCAAGAATGATAGATAATTGATTGGCATTTCTCTTTTCTATTTGATGTTAATATGTTTGTGTCCTTGTCTTTTCCTTCTCTTTTCCTTATTTATCACTCTCATGTACTTCCTGTATCTCTTCTTTTCATATCTATTTGTCTTTTATCTTCTAATCTCATTCCTTTCCTATTCTCTTTTGCTTTCTCTTGTCCTCACCAAATCCCCAAAGGTAGCAAATAATGGGATTTGAAGTGAGGAGGAAAGCATGAGAAAGAAGAGATAAATGAAAGACTGTAAAATCCTTGACCTGGCTCCACTCTGTCACTTGGTCACGTCTTTTATCTAAGATTTCATGATTCATAAGTTTCCATGAGATCCAATATTATTATTGTAGATCCTGAGTCTTTGCCATTGGCGGTTACATTTGGAGATTCTTTGGTGTAATAGCATGTAGGAAAGCACTTTTGGATTACAATTAAATGCTTTTCTATTTACATCTCTTTCCTGTTGCCCAAGAGATAGGATTTCCAAGAAATAGAAAGGAATGGACAAGAGCGAAGGATGAGAGGGAGAGGAATAATCAAGAGATTTCTACCGGAAAAATCCTCAATCATATGCTGTGTCTATAGGTGAGTCTTATCTTATCCCTACCATCTATCTCTTTATCTCTGTTCTTTTTCATTTCATATTAATATCTGATATCTGGATAGCTTCTAAGATTGGAGGAATAGTTGGGTGATGAGGAAGGATGACGAAGGTAAAGGATTTGTAAGTGAGTGAAAGGAACGGGAAGTGAGATAATGGCGAGTCCTAAAGATGGGTCTACATGCTATATCTCTTCCTCCCACTCGCTTCTTTCATGTGTCGCGAGAATTAGAATGAAGAAGACTCACCAAGAAGAATCTCCAAATACAAGGATTATAAAGAAGAAAGACAAGGAATGGCCAAAGCCAGGAGTAATAGATGGGGTTTCACTTCCTGCATTTTTAATTAGTTTTTATTATTTATTTTGTCGTAATAGCATATTAATAGGATTTCTATAATTTCATATATTTATTTGTATTTTGCTTTTATTAGGGTTATTTGTCTTTAGGTTAGTTCAGGACCTTCCCACCGCTTCCTCGCGGGTTAATGGGTAAACGATAGAAAAGACGACTCCCTCCTACTTCAAGTTCCTACAGCATAGCCTATCTCCATCCTTCTATTCCTTCATTCACTGTCTCTTTCTTCACTTTGGGGTTTCCTCGCATCACTTCCAACCCTTGGAATTACCTGGAGAACAGAAAAGGTTGGATGAAGGTGTGTGAATGAAGTGAACGGATGGTAAGGCTAGACCTAAGGGTCGCTTCTATCTCTGTCTCTTTTATCACTATCACAGCTTAAGGAATTTCCATTATAATCCTATTAATTGTCTAGCTTCTAAGTGATGAATTGGAGAGAAACAGCCATCCCATGAACGAAGAAGGCTGTGGCCGGCTATTTCACTCTTTTACTGTCCCTTCGGATCCAATTAAATGCTTTCTCTTTTACTATCCCTTATCCATATCTTGGCTTTTTAACTTCTAAAATATTAGGAATTAATATAATTATAAAATTGGGATTACAGGTAAGCGATTGAAGGCGAAGATATTAACCCACAGAATATAGAATTTGGATAATATTACATTAAGAAAAAGAAAAGGAAAAGTGATGCTTGGAGACACTTCTATCTTCATCTTCTTTTCATCTTAAAAATCTGGAATTTCCTCTCTTTTCATTTCCATCGTGTGTACACACTGTCATAATGCCTTGGAGATGATGTTGAGGAAGAACGAAGAGAAAAGATAAGGTATAACCGTTCCTATCTCCTTTCTATATCTTGTTCATCATCATTCATTTTCTTTTACTTTATAACCTCAGATTCTTAGGATTACGAAATGATTAGGAATTAATATGAAAAGTTGATGTACAAGTGATAGGAAGAGGCTCTTCAGGAGCTATATCTCTTTACTTTGCTTTTGGAGTAGCTATTCCTCTCTTTCCAATTCACCTTTCATTGTCATCTGTTCCCTGTCAGGCCTAGCCTAATGTCAACCAATATTAATTATGGAAATGATAAGAAAGAAAGAGTGATAAAAGACCAGGAAGAGCAAGGAATGAATCCAGAGAAAGCTATTAATTTCTGAGATTAAAAGGGATGGATAATTAATAGGAAACAGATACAAAAAGAGAATGAGGGATAAGATAAAGACAGTTAGCCCACAGGCCAGTCATTCAATGTAGATTTCTACACCAAACTAAGGCATAGTCAGAAGAGAATCTGGTCTAGCTCCCAGCCAGCAGCAGAAAGCCAGGCCCGCATCCAATCCCGAGCCCGCCCACCGACAAAGGCTTGATACGTGATTGTTTTGTCTCGGGTAAAGGGACCAACCCCACTTACCCTAGTTTATGACATACTTACCTGAGCATAATCAAAACCCGTTCTTCCCAGAAACATGAAGGCGGCCGCAGCCATTTATGGCAGGGATTGGCCCTTGCTAACCTTCATCTACCCGGGCTTCGATTGTGGCTCACCTGCGGTTGGCAACGAACCTCCGCACAAAAGGACCGAGCCTCCAAGCTCTGGTCCAGCCACCGCTCCAGCACCGCCGAGTCCGCGCCCGCGGCAGAGCGGCTGCCTCGGCTAGCAGCAACCAATGCTCAACCCCTTAAAGGGGCATGGCACCTTTAGTAAGCGGGTAGGGTATGACCCACAAAAGCCATGGTTATAAGTCTCTGGAGTGGGTCATAACCAGGCTTGCTCACCACGTACTAAGTACCCTGCCCCTTTAAGCCGAAACGTTGCAAGGGTAAAATCGGTCGGTCGCTCGGGTCAGCCGGTCGGTCGGTCCGTCGGTTGGTTGGCTGGTGCAATGCACACGACTTAAGATCAGCTTCCTCCACGTCTAATTGGAAAAAACAGAGGAAGTCGGAAAGAACAAGGAAAAATACTCGGAAAACGGCCGGAGGATTTGTTTGCTTTTTCCAAGTTTGTGGTTTGGATTGATGGTTTGGTGGTATTCGGGTGGTTTCCCATGTGCTCTCCACAAGAAAGCGTTCAAATCCCCAAACCACCAATCCAAACCACCAACTGAGGGTACCTGATAATTGGTGGTTTTGGTGGGTTGCATTGGTGGGTTGCATTGGTGGGTTGCATTGGTGGGTTGCATTGGTGGGTTGTATTGGCGGGTTGACGGTAAATGCGAGGGGTTGCCTTGTCCCCTTAGTTACAATATTTGGTATAGTCCACCGCAAAGCATAAACTTGTTTTGGAAAGGACATCAGGATCATTCTGGCTGTACGATCCTTCTATGAGGAATCAACCTTTAGAGTTGTCTTTGGCTTGAAAAATGAGGTAAACCTAGAGTGCGGGGGAAAAAACGAAAAAAAGAGAAGAAACAAACATGTATAAACAACACCAAGCTCGGAAGTTTACAATTATCACGTGTTTGACGAAATATGTTTTGCTCATTATGTTCTAGTCGAAGTTGGAAGATATTGCCAAACGTTCATGGCGTCCATCCCGCCGAAAGCGAAAAGCGCCGCGACTCGATTCAAGCAGCGGGTCCCGATCCCGGTGGTTTTAAAGTGAAACAGCCAGATGGCGTTTTTTGTAGAGATGTCAACCTGGACACGGAACGGGATCCACAACTGAGGCAAGCCAGTGCTAATTGATTGTTACTCTACTTAAAGGGGTACTTAGTAAGTGGATAGTAAGCCTAGTTGTAGCCCACAAAAGCCATGGTTGTAAGTCTTCGTTCAGTGGGAGATAACCACGACTTACTCTCACCACTTACTACACTACGTACCCGATCGCCCCTTTAAGTATAGTAGAGCTGGGTCGATCAACAACTTTACATTTGGAAGACTCGTTCCTTCAGACGTCATAGGGAAAAGGGAGGATTCCCCTTGCGGGGGATCCGGAGCTTCAGACCCACACTGCTGGTTGAAATCGAAATTCGCAACCGAAATCAGAAACCCAAGGGAGTGACGTGATTGCCCCTGTAAATACCAACAAACGTTATGGTTTCAACCATGATTTCAAAGCGGCGCGAAATGGAGTTCGTCCATGCACACTAGCTTGGCAGCTGAAATGACAAAATGCCACTTCAGACAAAAGGCAGAACCACCGAACGCTATATGTAGTTGCACCCTGACGGCTGAAATGTTGTTGATAAGACCAAAACCAGGAATGGGTGTTTCTCAGACACAGGGGGACCCCAAAATGGTGCTTGTTCACCCTTGATTTCCTAACCAACCCTAAAAACGTACCCCGGAGAAAAAAGAAGTCTGTCCCCCAAACTTTGTTGCTGTTGACCCCTCTGCACAAAAAGTGAATGACCTTTTGTGTGTCCAATGGAAAATCCGAGCTGTGTCAACCAAGAATGGGTTCAAGTCCACAGATCCGTTCCCAGATAGCCAGAAAGCGATCACAAAGGAAGCTGCACCCTCAGATCGGCACCCACACGCCATAAGCTGGGTTTTCTGCGGACGCTGCCGAGCGTCCCACCTCCTCGTGGTCAAAGGAGGCGGCAATCAGAAGATCCGTGGAGGCGTCAAAGGCCTGCTGACTGCAACACCCTCGATGGTTGCAGGACATAAATGGGTGCAGGTCAAAATAAACCTGGGATTCAGTCGCCGCCTATTCCAACAATGATTTGGTGCATATCTCGCCGCCACTACCCATTCAAACCCTGGGGGTTCATATAAGCACCACTAGTTTTCCAAATGGCCATGGGTCAAAACCCAAATCGTAGCTGCAGTGAACATCCGATTCAATCCAACCACTGCTACCTCTGGATAAGCCTGGGATAAGCCAAGTTGAGAAGCCCTTGAGGCCTTATTCAGGGGCGAATAAGGGATAGCTCATTCTCGTGTGCATGGACGAAATCCAATTTGCAGCACCTAAGAAACCATGGTTGAAACTGAAGCTATTGGTTGGTTGGTATTTGCAAGGGAATCAAATCACTCCAGGGTTTCTTCGGTGGTGCGAAATGGACTTCGTCCATCCACTGTATGGGTATGTGACAAAATACGACGCCGAACAGAATGAGATGTTCCTTTCCCTTTCCCTTTCGACCAAACTGATACCGAGCCCTCGCCACTTTCTTCGTTTTTGGACACATCCAACCACTTCGCGTTCCGTTGAAAACCAACCAAAAACGTGGCTCCCTCAATAAACACACCACACAATGGTCTGTGTTTTTTGGAGGTGACCTTTTTTGGAGTAGTGTTGTCCAAACGGAAACTATGTAGTTTGGAAGTTCCCTATATTAAGACACACCCACACGGGAGCCACGCAAAGCTCAGCAGCAAAACGCTGCAAAACCCCAACCCCGTCCTCCTTCTGCTCGGTAAATGCGATCAGCCCATCAACCGCCGCCCAGGTGGAGAGCACGTTGTCGATGCGGGGCGTGCTGACCATAGCACCGATACCTACTTGAAGGGACATGTCAGGCAAGTGGTTAGTAAGCCTGGATAACCCAGGCAGCTGCCAGAAGTCTCCAAAGACGAGGGCGGGGAGCTTGTCCGCAGCTTCCCACATCTGGAGAAAGGAGACTTACAACCATGGCTTTTGTGGGTGATCTCACCAGGCTTACTAACCACTTACTGAGTGCAATGCCCTTTAAGTAGCCAAATCGGATGTTCCACGCGGCTTTCCTCCCAGTGAAAACGCTGAACAAAAAAAGGCGTCAGGGATACACAGAAAGTAACATATTTGTTCAAGCTCTGCTTCATACATACCCCAACCATGCAAAAAGTATTGGTTAGGAAGTCCCAAGTTGCTTTCGCCTATCCCCAAAATATTCCATCGACCCCGAAGGTGGCGCTTCTGGCTGTACTTACTCCCCTACAAATCAAGATGGAAACCCAAAAGGGGGGTTCCGAATCCCAAGAGGAGCCGCAAAGTGAGATCTGGGTTCATTCCCTTCTGGGGAGTGCTTAAAGGGGCGATCGATGCGGTATTTCAGGTAAGTGGTTAGTAAGCCTGGCTACAATCACCCATGACGACTAACCAATTACTACAATGCCCCAATTTGAATAACCCCTGCCCCAATTCGACTGCCCCTTAAAGTGACTGCCCCAAGTAGAATAACCCTGCCCCCCTAAATTCGAAGGCCCCTTTAAGATACCAAGTACCATGCCCCACTTACCTCCGGGCTCCACCAAAACACCATCCGAGCCGCGGCAGGGGGGCGTGGAGTCCATAAGGCACAGATCCACGTCCAAGATCTCCTCGGCCTTCACCTCAAGAGGCGAAACGTGAAGAACGGAAGGAGTCGGTATGAGTAACAAGTCTGGCCAAAAGTCGAAAGATAGAAAGGCCAACAGTTAAAAGGTTAAGAAGTCAAAAGGTTCAAAAGGCCAAGTTTGGCATGAGTGACAAGTTTTACGTGCATGGTCGTTGCCAAATAGAAATAGGATAGAACCATGGATACAACTGGGGTAGCTGGGGTTGGTCCAGTTATTAATCAGGTGGGGGGTCTTCCTGGAAGAAAGGATTCCCAACTAGAAAGGGACCCCCCAGTGTGTTGTCGCAATAAGTACAGTTGTCGCATTTCAACCATGGGTGGGAAATCCACAATGGGGATTTCAAGCAATGTGCTACCTGATTGTTACTCTGGTCTATTATGCTTCATATCTGGTCTAAAGTATAAAATAGTTTTGGAGGAGAGCCCAGATTGGGTGTGCCTCAAACAGGGCCCCCCTTTTTGGCCTGAACAGTCATACTGGGGTTGTGAGGGCTTTAGAGCCAAGCTTGGTTCATGAGGGAATGAGGCCTGCAATTATTTACGCACGAATGTTACTCGCTGTTTAGATGGGAAACGATCTTGAATGGGGTTGGCTCAGTTTAGAGGGGCGTTCAAAATTTGTGCGCTCTATAGTAGCCTATATACTTCACTAAAACTACAATTGTTCAATGGATGCTATCACAATGTCCTGACTCCCTTGACCACAAAGTGATGGTTTCCCTGTAAAACAAGACCGCCCTATTGATCCATCAGGGGTTGATTAATCCGGGATTAACGTACCATATACACCCCTCATAGTTAGAGACCCCTTCGGCCGGTTGATGCTCCTTCGGTCTTCCATTCCCATCCAAAAAGTGGAGAGCCGGGTTACTCCTGGGTCAGAACCTTGGTTGCTGCTGACCCCCCTGCAAAAAGTTGACAACTTTTTGGGGGGTTGGTGGAGAACACCTTTATTTCAGTCAAAAAGTTAAAGTCTAAAGATTCGTTGCCCAGCGAAGCAGGCAAGGTTATTGAACAAAGCTCCGCCGCGCGTGCGTGAACCCAATAGCAAGATCCGTTGCCCAATACTGGGATCCCTACATTATACACCTGAACATTGCCTTGTAAATGGTGGTGTCCCTTTATATTTCGTGGAAAAAGCAATGTTTCAAATTGGCAAAACGTATCTTTTAAGGAGCCCTGCAATAGCAGTCAAGGAAATCCTTCTCCGGTACATTCCCGGCGAGCCGCCCCGACGCTCTCCGCCACCACCGCCAGCAGCTCCGCGTGGTGCCGGCCCTCGGAGACGGAACGGAGAACGGAGGCGGCGGTTTGTTTTGGAACGGGCGCCCAAAAGAGCAAATAAAGCACTAGGTTCTAGGGGAATGGCGGTCTTTTGGGGAATGGAGATATTTATGCTTTCATCTAGGCAAATACATAGCTTTCATCTACTTGGAGTCTCCATGACCGCTAGAAAAGGGGTCATCAACCCTTAGTTTGGCCAGTGACCCCATTTTTTAAAGAGTCAGAAGGAGACGCCAGGTAGGGGAAGTGTCCATGTCCATCCTTTCCACTCCGAATCTTCGGAAAAGAATCCAAAACCCCAGGTTGAGAAACAGCGATCGGTTATTGAAAAGAAACGATGGTTGAAAAGAATGGAAAAGGAATCAACCCCTCGATTTCAGCAAACCCATAGCCTGGTTTGCCCAAAGGGCCTGGAAAAGAAGGTTCGCCCTTTGGAATCTTGATTATACATCGACCAGAAGGGCAAACGCAACAGGTCATTTCAGGTCGATTCGCTTTGGACCAGTGAGTAGCAAAAACAAGGGGTCAACACCCCATAGCTTTCTGTTCAAAGACCCCATAGCTTTCAACTGGGGACAATGTAAGATCCAAAAGGTAGAACTATTTCAACTCAGCGCAGGTACCGGAACCCTTGCTTGGACATGCTCTGGACAAAGACCCCAATGTTTTCAAAACGGGAAGATGATGCGATTCAAGCTGATTACAAGAAACGCGGCATCTTAAACATACAGCACAACTATGCAACGCATGTGTATTGCAATTTGTGTGTGTGAACAGTGAACAGTGTTCAAATCACACGGGCCGATGCTTACAAAAAAGGGGAATAGGCCTGATATCGGGAAGCATGTCGACTAGGTGCTCCAGTAGAGAGGTTAGAATAAGGGTACCCTCTTTTCTGTCGTCTATTTTAGTAGGGGAACCTTCCCAACCAAAAAAGGGTGAGAAAGGGCACGACTGGGGGACCTAGGCGATATAAAATTCATGCTAGCACAACAAAACACGTCCTTTGCAGCCATAACGGAGTGTGCCCTCAGATCCCCCGGAGGGTTAAATGGCAACTACCACTAAACACTAAAAAGCTAAAAAGCTAAGGCAAGGATCAGCAAAATAGTCTTGGTCCCCTGAGTAAGAGACAAGCTGTGACAAGTTAAACGTCCAAGCCAGTTGGTCGGAAAAGGAGTGAGTCGATGAAAACCGCTCAGTGGATCGAAACCAGTTGCTTACTCGCCACTGACCTGACGTACCGAATCTGCCTCGATCGCCCCCTTACTCCGAATCATCTCCCATGGAACCCCACTGAAAAGCCCCAGGCCTTTTAGTGGACGCCCAGTGGCATCAAAAAACAACGGACTGAATCACGGAGCCACAACCCCCCCAAAAAAACATGGAAGGACTGAGGTTGGCAGATTTCCGCTGACATGCTCATTCCAATCCCTGCCTCTTCCTTCTCCTCTTTGTCCTCTTTCTCCTCTTTCTCCCCCTTCTGGAGACCTGGATAAGTTTGGGCTCCAAAAGCCTGAGCTAAGAGTATGCAATGGCGTGATCATATCACTGAAACTCTGTGTGTGTGTGTGTCTGTGCGTTGGTGTGCGCGCACTTTGGATGTGTCAGAATAAGAAGGTTCGAAACCGCTCATTTGCATCAATGCTCTAAGCAAGGAATTACCTCATAGTCATACTTCAACCTCAAACCCACTGTAGTACGCCACTAAAAAGGTCCAAACCCAAAAAGTGACTATATAAAGTCCATGCACTCAGCAAGTGAGAAGACAACGTTCAAAGAAAGAAGAAGAAAAAAACCTGAATGTTTGATGTCGGACTCTTTCTGCCCTGGTTTACTCAGGAGAACCGGGTAAGCATGTCGAATCGATTCCGATTATCTTACCTTTTGGCTTGTGCAAAAAACGATCTGGGTTGCGTTGCCTAAAAATTGTAACCCAACAAAAAATGTGTGTCCTTTTTTAGGGAACCCCCCAAACAGCAAAGTCATGTGGTATTCCTTTTAGTGTCCCTTCAAACAGACCCAAAAGAACAACAAGGGGTAGAATCAAAAAAAGGGCAGACCCAAATGCTGGATTTTGGTTTACACCCAAACAACGTTCCCCCCCTTCCCACCCTAAACCCCCCACCCAAAAAATACCTGAAAAAGTGGGACAAGTGAGGACAGCGTCAGGTCTCTAATACTGCGTGAGCCCAAACACGGCACCCTCAAAAGAAAATGGCCATCGCCACCCCCATCGCTTGGGCATCAACAACATATCCCTGTAGGGGTACCTTCCCCGTTCTTTCCAGGGATCCGAATCTTTTCAGGAAACTCTCAAAAACCCCGGGGAATCCGCCGGTGTTTGCAAAGAACCATGGTTGAAAACAATGGACCAGGAATCAACCCCTAGAGTTATTCCATTTACCAAAGGGGTCCCCCAGCAGTTCCCTTTCTCACCCTTTCTTTTTTGGGGGGGTTCGGGGTCCCCTACTAAAATCGACGTCCAGAAACAAGTTGGGTACCAACTTCTTCTAACCTCTGGAGGAATCAACCCCCCAGAATCACCCGCCTCCTAGTTCAAGGCCGCAGGGGGGGCACAGCACCGGCTGCAGCTCCACTTCCTTCGATTCGTTTTTCGCGCCGACAAAAAAAAGAAAGCGGGGGAACTCGGTCGGGCAGCAGCTCGGTGGGGCAAGCCGGGTAGAACCATGGAAACCCGCAAAAAATAAAATTAAAAAAATGTGGCATTGCATGCCAGGTAAATGGGTAATAACCACGGTAACCCGCAAAAGCCATGGTTATAAGGCTCGATTTGGTTGGGTTATAACCAGGAAGCCATGGTTACAAGTTGCCATGGTCATACAAGGCTCGATTTGGTTGGGGGTAGAACCAGGCTTATCCACTTCCCTGACGTACCCGATGGCCCCTTGAAGAATCTTCCGGTTGCGTTGAAACCAACAACCACACCTGGGCCGTGTCTTGTTGTCGGGGCGCCCCAAAATGGATTCCTTGGCTCTCCTTTCGGCGAAAGCATCAAAGGCTGCGGTAGCCTCGAAAAGAGACGCATCCGGCTGGGCGTGGCTCAAAAGCAAATCTTAGAGATGCTCAGGGGGCCTCAGGTCTTTCAGTCTATTGGTCCATGTACCGGGCTTCCCTTTTGTTGGGATCCCCATGACGTGTCCCAGGTCCAAGTCTATTTGTCCATTCACCCGGGTTGCCTTTTTGGATCCCCTTTAAAATTGTCTCCAAGTGGGTGTGTCTTCCAGCAAATGGTGGTGGTGTCCACCCGAAAAACCACAAAAAGAAGAAGCCGCCTCGAAAAAAGACATCCCCCAAGTAGAGGACCTAGTATAAGGAGCCCAATAAGTACCAAGGCGGCAGGTGGTGAAAAGCCAAATCAAGGATTCCCAACTCAAGGGCCAAACTTTCCGGGGCTCAACAAATGGAACCCGGGTTGGGGGCTAGGAGTGAACGATGAGATGTTTAGCCACTGATCTGGGCTTGCGTTGAAAATAGGAAACCCCAACATGGATTCGGAGATCCCCCAGTTTCCCCGGACAAAACCAAACCAAAAGTCGGGGTTCCCTAAAAAAGAGAGCTTACGAATAAAGCTCCATGTTTATCTCACTTCCGGCCCAAAAAAAGTAACCGAAATTATTGCTTGCTCAGGAAGACCAACCAAAAGTTGGGTTTCCCTAAAACAGGACCACGCGCAAAAAACAGACGCCGACCCATGACGAGCTCGACGTTTGTACTCAACGGTCCTTGTTCGGCGCGAAGCCCTCACGCTCCTTCTGCGTCAGCAGATGGATCGCCAGGTTTGGGATCAGGCAAAGCGGCTTCTCGACGCGGACCAGTCGCTCCTGTGCTTTTCAGACCAAAAGCCGGAGGGGCCGCCTGACAGGTATCTGGGCTGCCCTCAATTTTCCTGGAAACTACCACTAAACACTAAAAGGCTGCCCAACAGAAAAAACTGCCGCACCACGACCTCGGTCCTGCCTGCGCTGCGCCGCCCGGACTCGTAGATGGGACAAGGAAATGGGGGAAGAGGACTTTTGAACAAATGCGTCAAATGCCCTAAACGCCTAACAGTTGCATCGGATTTGTCTTCTGCCAAACTTAGTTGTTTTAAAAAGAATCGCCGAAAGCAAACAAGGTATGTATTGGTTGAATATTGGTTTAGTTGCGGCCTAGTATTGGTTGAATAATGTTGCGGCCTAGTATTGGTTCAGTATTGGTTCAGCATTGGGTCAGTATTGGTTTGGTATTTGTGAAGTGTTGGTTTAGTATTGGCTTATTGGTTGAATATTGGTTTAGTTGCGGCCTAGTATTGGTTCAGTATTGGTTCAGTATTGGTTTAGTATTGGTTAAGTATTGGTTTAGTATTCGCTTAGTTGCAGCCTAATTACAATTTAGTGCTGAGGGGTTGGATTTGGGGGGAAATAGCATTTGTCAATAGGGTGAATTGATGAACATGGTACTATGATGACTTAGGGGCGGTTGACTAAATTTACGGCAAGTTGCAAGGCGTCGAGAGGGGGGGTTTAGCTACTGACGGTTGCTTGGGGCTTCATTTGGGGACTACCAAACGCTAGTTCCCCAAAAGTGAAGGATGCCCTCTTGAGTCAGACCCCAAGAAATCAACCAAGCTGGGCAAATCAACATACTTCACCGAGATGCTGTCGCAAACCTCCCTGGTGGCCCAGAACCGATGGCTTTCTTTCAATCCTTTACCTAAAGAGCCGAATTTGTTTTCCTCCTGGGCTTTTTTTTTATCATTTTGGCGGGCGCTTGAAAACCTACCGGCTCCCTCTTTTTTAAATCCTGGGCTCTTTTTGTAAAGACCCCATTTTTACTGCGCCCTTGAAAACCTACCCGGCTCACTTGCCCGCTGTGTGGCGTGGGCCATCCATTTCCTCCTTTGCGCGCTGTCTGAAGGGCCACTTGAATGGAGGGGGAACTCTGGGAGCTAAACACTTGGTGGACGTTGGAAAAGGAGCCAAAATCTAAGTGGAGATTTCAATCACTACACCACAATAAGAACAAATGCAAAATGTTTGCCAACAACAACCATGAACAGGGGGGCTGGGAGGACAGAACCCCCCCCCCCCGTTTCGTTTCCTGGGCGAAAACCAACGCAAAACTAGCTCGCTATGCAGCTCCTCCATGCCTTCCGCGGTCTGCACCACCACCTTGCCCGCCACGCCCAGGGGCCGGTCGAACCAGGTGTGCCACAGCCCCCCGCCGTAGGTGTCCACCCCCACCTCGCGCCAGCGAGGCGTCAGCTCAGGGGGCAGGGGAGGGGGGAGAGGCGAGGGGGAGGGGGAGGGGGAGGGGGAGGGCAACTGCCTCAGAACCCCTGCGATGGAAAAAATCCCTCGCCTGCAGCATCCCGGCGCTCTTGGGCATCTTCGAGCAGGGCCGCAGCTTCAGGCACGGAGAGTCCGTGTGCGCCGCCGCGATCACGGCGCCTCTGGGCCGAGAAAGGCGGTGGGGCGGGCCTTCGGGGCGCCTGAAACGCGAAGCATCCGCCAAATTCGGTTGGGTGAGGCTCGTTCCTCGCGTACAAACAAGAATCTACTTGGTGGTTCTCCCGCAGTCAATCCAGGCAAGCCCTTGTAGAAGGTAACCAACGAGTTTCCTTTGGTTTTCAAATGGTGGATCTCTTGGTTACCTACTGTACAGGTAGATGGATCCGCCGGGTCTGACAAGATGTTCATTTCGAATCAACCCGAACGCCGATCAGGTGGTTCCCCTTCTATTGATGGAGGAAAACACAAAGGCGGGGTCTTCTCAAGCGTGGCCGCCTAGGCATTGGGAGCTTCTGGTCTTCAGCGTGTCGGCACAGAAGCGGCGCGTCGGCTGGTCGAAATTGAGATAGGTCTCTGTTGCCTTGCGATTTTGTGTTTCTTGTGTGTGTGTGGTGGATGCCTCGTTTCATATTGCGGCTTAACAACGCTTCCGCCCCTCGTAGTTTATATATATATATATATATACAGTGGCATACCCATCTAGGTGTCTACACTTGCTTGTTCTCAGTACGGAATGTGGGAATCCCCCACCAAGCACTCCTCACACTTATCCATGGTAAGCAGGAATTTAACCCCTGCCTCACTTCGTTTGACCAAACAAGTCACCAAACTGTTGCAGGATTTACCGATCCCCTGCGAGAAGCTCAGCTGTTGGTGGGTGAAATTCGGAAACCCCACCACTAAACCAACTAAAAACCAACAAAGACCTAAGTTTAAGGGTGCGCATTTGTTTTGGGATGTATTTGTTTTATGTTTTTTTTTTTTTTGTTTTTCCGTTCGGGCCAGTAAAATATCGTATTTTACAGCATTTCTTGCGAAATTGACGTTTGCACTAGACCGTCAACATCCCCAGCCTCGTTTTCAACATCCCCGCACGTCCGACCAACATCCCTAGCATCACCAACAAATCGTGTGTAACAAAATGCAAAAAGAACAAAAAAATAGTGAGATAAACAGGAGGGCATTTCAATCCCAGTGAAAAAAAGAAAAAAGAAAAAATAAATAGCAGGGTTGGGGGCCCAAAAAGTCTAAAAACTAGCGGGGGGGCTGGGGGGGCGGCAGCCCCCCATGATGTTCGAAGAATTGATGATTCAAGTAGGGGTGCAATGATTCAAGAAAGGGTGCGATAGAATTCAAAAGGCAGCGGGAGGGTTGGCGGGGGTGGCGTCCCCTATGATGTTCGAAGAAATGCATACATACAGACATACATGAATTACACAGATTACCTAAAATGTCGTATTTTGCAGTTTTCTCGCGAAATTGGGCGCTCGAAAAAGTGATGATTCAAACAGGGGTGCAATTCAATCTCTGCAAGAAATCTAAAAAGTAACGGGGGGAGGCGGCAACCCCCTCCATGATGTTTGAAGAAGAGTTGATTCAAACAGGGGTGCAATTACTCTGCAAATAATCTAAACAGTAGCGGGTGGGTTGGGGGGGTCCCCCCCCCCCATGATGTTCGAAGAAGTGATGATTCAAATAGGGTGGTGGTGATGCTGATGATGCAGGAAGCCAAATCCAAAAACCCATGAAAGGGTTCAAAAGCCAAAAAGCCCGAAGGATATGCCGCCAAAAGCCGCCAAAAGCCGCATAAACCAGCGAAAAAGCCGCAAAAGCCAAAACGCCACCTGCCGAAGAGGAACTGGGAATGCAGAGGATGCGACAAGCCAAAAAGCCACCATAAGCCGCATAAACCAGCAAAAAGCCGAAAAGCCCAGAAGCCCAGAAGCCGAAAAGCCAAGAAGCCGAAAAGCCAAGAAGCCAAGAAGCCAAAAGCGAAAAAAAAATCCGGGAAGCAAAAAAAAGGAAAAACTCCTAAAACAAATACCCCTCCTAAGTTTAACTGGAAACCCGACCACTAAACCACCTTAAAAACCTGGCTAAAGACCTAAGTCGAACCCCCATGCCTGGGCACCAAGGTGAGACCCAACTCCCCGCTCGCGTGGCCGAGCGGCCGCCCTGGTTCTGGTCGAAGGCCTTCCCCACCGCGAAGGCGCAAATGGAGGTGCCCTCCTGCGCGGGCGCGGAAGGCGTGGCGAGGTTCCGCGCCGGCAGAAAACCGAACCGAGGTCGGTGGCGCGGGCGAAGCCCGAGAAGAAAAAAAGAAGACGCCAGAAGAAAAAAAGAAGACGCCCCCTTGGAAAACATAAGAACATGTATTGCTTGCTGTTGACCCCTCTGCAAAGTGGTTGTCCATTGAAACATATTGCCATGCTTTCTTTGATAGAAACCCTTATGCTTGGGCAAAATAAGCAAGGAGGTTCACTTGCAACAAATGCTTAACTTGTTGTGGGTTCGATGGAGAATCCTTTCCGTTTCAGGAAAAAAAGTTCCAGTCCTAACCAAATAGCCATACAGGATTCCCTATCCCCAACAGCCCGTTTTTTTTTGGAACCGCATCACCAGAACCCTGCTCAAATCTGCTCCAAACCGCCCTGAACGAGCCTATCTGGGCAGAGACCCCATAGCTTTCAGCTGTTGGGGAAAAATATGAAAAAGGATTAGTATGAACAGCAATTATGTACAAGGGCTTGCAGTTTTTTGCTGCTGGTGCTTTAAGATATAAACAGGCTTCTGGACAATCAGGATCATTATGATGTTCTTGGTTGGTAGATGTTGTGTCTTAATGTGGAAAGATGTTTGGGTTCGGTTTCGTAGTTGGTGAAAAAAATGAACACAGACCAGTCAACCTGACTAAAGGGAGGCTGCAACCAAAAAGGGAACCTAGTTGGGAAAGTATATGTTTAGGGGAACCAAACGGAGATTCTGCTCAACTCCCGTGGATGGGCCAAACAAAGTAAGCAAACTTGCTGTTTACAACCAAAATGGACCTCCCCCCCCCCTCCGAAACATGTGGCTGAAGCCCGGAACGGAACTCAGGAGTGAGTCAAGCAGAACCGGTGTGTCCTGCCGTCGGTTTTTAACACGAAATCGCGGAGTGCTGCTCCTTGGTGATAAAGTACTTGCCCCCGGGCGTCAGGCTCCTGGGATTTCACCCACACGCCGAAAACGAGACACCGAAAACCTGGAAGAGTCACCCTGAATAATGTGTTTTTTTTGTTGGGGGGGGTAGATACCCTGCAAAACAAATCAACCCACCAATTGCCCAACTTGATATGGAACCCACAAAAGGGCGTCCCAATGCTTTAAGAACATTCCTCCAGTTCCTTGAACTCCATCTGCAGAGTAATCCTGGGTGCCCGTTCTAGGATCCAAAGAGCATCCAGGGCCCACATCTGAACCAAGAGGAACCTGTGGCATCAGAAATTCTTGTCCATACCCTCTTGCAGACTCATATGCTAGGTCCTCCACTAGAGAGGTTCGAATAAGGGTACCCTTTTTGCTGAAGTCTATAGTAGGGGAACCCTCCCCAAAAAAGTTGGGTGATAAAGGGCACCTAGCTGGGGGACCTAGTATGGCACCCAAAAAGCCCACGGAACAAAAAACAAATAAGCAAACCGCTCTTTGAGGTTCGGAAGACCTTTGCGGGTTCCACGTGAAAAAATGTCCACTGTCTTTTTTGTAGTGGACCTCCGAAATGGCTTCGAGTCTCCTCTGGCCTGCCCTCAGATCCCCCGCTAAAAGTTTTACTTTTAGTGGGTTAAATAGAAACTACCACTAAACACTAAAAAGCCAAAAAGCTAAGGAACCGGATGGCTGGGAACCACCAAGTCCTTTTGGATGTCCTTTGCAACCACCACAAGGGTTGGGTACCCTCAGAGAAAGGCACGCCCATAAGCTCCTTTCGGAGATAATCCCCCACAAGCTCGGCCAAAACCCGTTGGCCGAGCGGCCAGGGCGGGCTATCCTCCAGCTGCACAAAGCCCGCCGCCTGCCAAAGCCCAACGCAGAAACCCGGTGCTCGGTGGGTAGGTTCTGCGGAAAAAGTGCCGTGATCTTCCTTCAGCAACGTCAGGTAGGTTCTAGGGCCTAGGGTGGAGGTGTCCTTGCAACGTCGGGTAACTGGGCTGCACGTTTTCAGATCCCCCTCAGATCCCCCTAAAACCCTAATCCCCCAAGCCCGGCAATAGGAAAAACGAGCCCCAAGCATGGAAGGACCCATAGGACATCCCCTGGACTGCCCGCAAAAGATCCCCCGCTAAACTAACTTTTAGTGGGCTAAATTCGGAAACTACCACTAAAAGGCTAAAAGGTAAAGGAACCGGATGGCTGGGAGCCACCAAGGCAAGTAGGTTCTAATCCGAAAGGAATCATCCGACCTTCATCTCAAATCCTGGACAAACCCTCTACTTGGATGTCCAAGCAACGTCGGGTAAATAGGTTCTATCTCTGGTTGTACCTGAGGTAACTAGTTGGTTGGTCGTCGTTTAGCCATGGTTATATCCTACTTACCTGACTTATATCGTACTTACCTGAGTTTGGCAACGAACATCCAAGCAAGGACGCAAAAACCCGGTGGTTGATTTCACCCTAAAGGAGAACCCCTGGGTTTAAGCCTATGGGTAGTCAAACGGTGGAACCCTTTGTCCCAGCTCTTGAATTGGTTCTGCTACTTCGCACCAGTTGGGATCGGTGTGCCAGTATTCGTAGGGCTTCATCCTTCCCAATTGGGGCGAAGTGGATTTTGTCCACAGTGCAAGGCTCGTCGTCCAAGGTAACCAAAGAAAAAGAAGGGCAACAAGTTTATTTCTAGGGATCCCTGGGTTAGTGGGGATCTATCACTTTTGGAGGACAACACCCCATATTCTCAAACTGGGGTTGGTGCATCTGGGGTCAACATTACTACCCTTCAAACAAAAAGGGACAGGTACCCCTCCAAAAAGAAAACAACAGGAAGCACAGGTGCCCTCCCACCCCACCCCCCCACCCCACCCCCTCTCCACCCCCCAAAACAAAAACTGGACGCGCGGCGTGACGCGAGCGGCTTGACGCGCGCCTCCAGGCGCTGCTTCGCCTGCTGCACGGTGTGCGCCGGGCTCCCCGTCTGCCCCACGAAGCTGAGGAACTCCGCCGCGGCCTCGCTCGCCGTGGCCGCCGCGCGCCGCCGCGGCCGAATCGACGCGGCCGCCTGCGAGCGGCAGAACGGCGGGGAGACGGGGAGACGGGGGGAGGGGGGGGGGGGGAGTTGGTTTGGGATGGTCGGAGGAGGCGCCAAGCGGAAGAGTACACCGTAAGATAATCAAACTCTGCTCGAAGATGTAAGATGATGGCGGAGGATGCCCTAGGAGGCGGCGCGAGGTGGGGAACAGGAGGTTTGGCAGCGAAATGCCGGGAGCAAAAGGTGAAACAAATCAAGGCGAGATGAGCAAGCCAAGCTGGATCACCTGATCAAACAAAAGACAGACCAGACAAATGCGAAAATCTGCCAAAGCATTGTAAACGCACTTGTGACCTGCATCCCCATTCCCCCCCGCCCCCACCTTCCGGCCATCCCTCCTCGCGCCCCTCACACCGGCCCAACAAATGGCCGCTCCGGCGGCTACAGCCCGGCTGCGCGGCGCGGATCCGCAAGCTTTGTGCGGCGCTTGGCTTTGAAGCCGCGGGAGACTCCGGCCATGGCTTCCAACTGCGACACTTGGCTGGGCTTGCAGCAACATCGCCGGAAAAATCTCCGCCTTGAGCCGTTCACGGCCTGGAACGCAGAAGGTCTGCGACAGCTGTTTCAGAAAAAATGACAATGGAAGAATATGGGCTCTGCACTCTGACTCTCCTCTCCTCGCCAGCTTTCCGCAGAACTTGGATACATCGCCAAGACACGTGGCGGTTGATCAATATTCCGTTCCGCCCCAAAATGACCATGAGTAACTTTCAGATTTGGTGGTGAATGCAACAAACATGTTTGGTGGTTTGCCTGATGGTCATCATGCTCATTGGACCTTTCGAACAACCACGTAGAGACCGCCCAAACCAGCCAAAGCTGGCCCCGCGATTTTGCCATCAAAGTCACCCCCGAAGATACCCTCCCACCAAGTAACATGGAACCTGACAGGGGATCCGTCTACAAGGAAAATGGTTTTCCAGGATCCCCCTATCAGGTTCCATATTGATTGGTGGGAGGTTCAGTTTTATTGGGACTACTCAACTGGTTCTGAATTCTGGGTTGCACGGAGTAGGTCGAGTTACCTTTCGTCAAAAAAAAACTGAGCAAAACCACACGGGTCCGTCTTTGTTAAGCTTGGACCTCCCAAAAAGGATTTCGGCTTTCCTGCTGGCTTCCCTTAAGGAAAAAACAGGAGGGACCAACTCCAAAAAAGACACACCCTGAATGACCCCTGCAAAAAAAGAAAAACAACGCAAACACACACACACACACACACACACCCACCCACCCACCCACCCACCCACCCACCCACCCACCCACCCACCCACCCACCCACCCACCCACCCACCCACCCACCCACCCACCCACCCACCCACCCACCCACCCACTCACTCACTCACTCACCCACTCACTCACTCACTCACTCACTCACTCACTCACACTCACTCACTCACTCACTCACTCACACTCACTCACTCACTCACTCACTCACTCACTCACTCACTCACTCACTCCAAGCGCGGTTCAGCCGGGTCCCTGGCTTCTCGATGGCCATGATGGGCAAAACCTCGTCGTTGCGGATCCAGGGACGCCTCAGGCGGGGGGGTGTTCTTTCGCAGTAGGCGTTGTGTTTTGCACCATCCTGGGCCTGGATGTTTTCACATGCCTGAACAATTCAGGGGACCACCTGAAAAGTGGTTGGTGGCTACCTGAGTCCCCTCCACCAAAGCGTCTGGAACCGATTGCTTCGGTGGTGGATACGAACCTTGTCTTGGTGCCTGCCTGAACCCCAGGAATTGCGGCCGGTGCAAGCCAACCCCCACCCCTAAAGCTTTTGTTTTTTGTTTTTTTGTTTCTGGGAAGCCTTTTCGGGTGCGCGGAGTCAGCTTGAATGATTGGGAAGATCCCCCTGCCATGGAGAGTTTTTGGAAGCTTCCCGTTGCCAACAGCCATACCCTACCTTCCGAAACTAGATCGACTTTAGTTGCCAAGTTGCACCGAGGCAGGCTGAATAGTAAGATGATATCTCCAAAAGCACGCGGTGCTCTTTTGAGTGCTCGCACCACCCCGCAGCCCTCGAAGAGCCTCGTGGAACCCTGGTGGAACCCTGGTGAATTGCCCAACTCTGGTTGCCAAATAGGTCTGCCCAATGGACATTCCAAGCAAGCGAATGCCAGTGCTTCGATGAAGCGTCCATTTTTTTCCCCTGGATCACCAACTCAGAGATTTCCTTGCTTCGGATTTGCCCCTCAAGTGAGTTGTACTGGTGGACTACATCCACTTCGATCGGACCCTGGTGGAACCCTGGTGGAACCCTCGTGCAACCTTACCTCAGGGCCGCCCCGGACCACCCCGGAGCCTATCTGGGCTGAGACCCCAAAGCTTTCAGCTGTTGGGGAAAAACACATGCTGGTGCTCAGTAGAGAATAACCCAGGGTGTTGGGAATGAACCTAGGGAATCCCTTGTAGGAAACCTAAATCAAACCACGAGGGATGGTTTATTGAAAGGCCATTTCTCATTCCCTGCTAAGAATCGGCAAGAAAAGTCTAAGTGGGTTGATCCTCTCCCCCTAATAATAAAACGCCTCCCCCCCCCCAAATAAATAAGCTCACAGCATGCGGTGCTCTTTTTAGTGTTCGGACCCCTGGTGGAACCCTGGTGGAACCCTGGTGGAACCCTGGTGGAAGTGGAACCTTACCTCAGGGTCGCCCCGGACCACCCCGAACCCTATCTGGGCTAAGACCCCAAAGCTTCCAGCTGTTGGGGAAAAACATCCCTGCCAGCAAAATAATTGTTTATTATTAGGGAGACCTTTATATTCATAGGGGGAACGGATTACCAGGCTTCCTCACCTCACCTACCGAATTGATTGCCCCAAAGGTCAAAGCCATGGCCTTCCCTGAGACGCCGAGGGGCTGCAAGGTGTCCTGGCTCGCAGAATGTAAGTCCCAGCGGAATTTTCGGGGGGGGCGTTGCCTCTAAAAGCCAAGGATGACCATGGCATGGGCGATTATGTGTATATAAATATATACAGGTACATACTTAGGTTCAGACGTGTATATATATATATAATGTTCTGTCTTTATATATATATATATTATACGTTAAGCCCTGTATGAAATTCAGCCAGGGGCGTGGTATTCATGGGTCAACATAATGGCAAGGATAGTGCACCCTGCCAGATCCTCTGATTTCCGGCTCACCCGTACACCGCACAAGCGAGAAACAACCTCTGCCGCTTTTGGAGATGTTCTCCTTCTCTTCTTAGGAATCGGACCCACAAAATGAGCTTCGGTATTCAACTGTCGGCTTTCCTGAAACAAAACACCGCAAAGCGACACTGTGGCGGCTTGCTCCACGGAGTAGCACTCCTTGACCCGACCACGCCAATGTCCGCGCAAAAGATACGGTAAGGCGGAAGCGTCGGTACAAGGCCTCTTGCGCAGACTTGTGCACGGGCCTTGGTCTGCTTGCAGCGCTACGATGTGCAAGGCAAATGCCATCCCTAGTCGGTGACGCAGGGGGTTCCCGGTACACACGCGCATGTGCAACGCTTTCCTACCTGGGTGTTCGCTTTGCCAAGTTAGCAAGTTGTTGGAAACCTAGGTTACAACCTACTTATTTATGTCCCCCTAAGTGGAAATAACTGGAAATAATATTGTTTTTGGGGAGGCCAACCTGTTGCTAACGTGAGTCGAGCATCCAAGTAGGGCGGTGGCTAGGGATCTCATGGCATCTTTCGCTCGCAACTCGGCGATGCGACCTTGTTGGGCCTACCCGGAACGACTTGGCGACGAGCGGTGAGGGGCGTTTCAGTCTAAGCCATTGGTCTTTGGTCTGAAGAAAATGATGATGGTTGAGTCACGGCTCCCAGCGATGTTATCCTGGTCATGTACCTCCAAAGCTCCAAACCACATGAAGGGGGAAGCCCACAGCGAAAAAATGCCGATTCTCTTCACGAGAACACCTTCAAGCTTGCTTCCAAAAATGGCTCTTGGACATGAACGTGCATGCAGCGAAACATGCGGCGATCCAAACGGGAGTCTCCATCATCGTGTAGCCAAAAATAACGGGCGCAAACCCTATTTCTGTTCGGGCCATGGAGACTCCAGGCAGTCTCATTGTCTTCTGTCCTCGCTGGTCAAGGGGAAGAAGTTGCGCACGGCCCCGATGTCCTGCCGCGAATCCCGTGCTTTGAGCCCGGCTTTGGATCGTTTCTCTTCCCTCGGATGTCAGAAGGCCATGCAGATTTGGTCACTCCTTCTCTCCAATTTTAAAAACAATATGGGTGTCCAAAAATGGGTGGGCACCTTTGACCTTGTGAAAGTGGGAGAGCCGGTTGATTTCCCTTTAACAGCATCCAAAAAGGGGACCCCCCGTTGTGAGGTCGACCGCTATGTTCTGCCCAGAGATGGTCGCAAGTACACCGGCCACAAAGACTGGCCGGAATTCGGTACCAAGCTGGTTGGAGAAAAACACACACTCACACACACACAGACAGACACAGACACAGACACAGACACAGACACAGACACAGACACAGACACAGACACAGACACAGACACAGACACAGACACAGACACAGACACAGACACAGACACAGACACAGACACAGACACAGACACAGACACAGACACAGACACAGACACAGACACAGACACAGACACAGACACAGACACAGACACAGACACAGACACAGACACAGACACAGACACAGACACACAGACACAGACACAGACACAGACACAGACACAGACACAGACACAGACACAGACACAGACACAGACACAGACACAGACACAGACACAGACACAGACACAGACACAGACACAGACACAGACACAGACACAGACACAGACACAGACACAGACACAGACACAGACACAGACACAGACACAGACACAGACACAGACACAGACACAGACACAGACACAGACACAGACACACACAGACACAGACACAGACACAGACACAGACACAGACACAGACACAGACACAGACACAGACACAGACACAGACACAGACACAGACACAGACACAGACACAGACACAGACACAGACACAGACACAGACACAGACACAGACACAGACACAGACACAGACACAGACACAGACACAGACACAGACACAGACACAGACACAGACACAGACACAGACACAGACACAGACAGACACAGACACAGACACAGACAAAGACACAGACACAGACACAGACACAGACACAGACACAGACACAGACACAGACACAGACACAGACACAGACACAGACACAGACACAGACACAGACACAGACACAGACACAGACACAGACACAGACACAGACACAGACACAGACACAGACAGACACAGACACAGACACAGACACAGACACAGACACAGACACAGACACAGACACAGACAGACACAGACACAGACACAGACACAGACACAGACACAGACACAGACACAGACACAGACACAGACACAGACACAGACACACACACACACACACACACACACACACACACACACACACTTGGGAGACTTATAACCATTCTCAGTGGGTTATAAGCACGTACCTGGTTGGGGCAAAAAAATAAGCTCAGGTGATATCCCCAACAGCATGCGGTGCTCTTTTTAGTGCTCCCTCGAGGAACCCTGGTGGAACCCTGGTGCAACCCTTGTGGAACCCTTGTGGAACCTTACCTCAGGGCCGCCCCGGACCACCCTGGAGCCTATCTGGGCTAAGACCCCAAAGCTTTCAGCTGTTGGGGAAAAAAGTGCTTACGCCAAGGGTGCCTCGGAATGCGCTCCTGGTGAACCGCGGACAGGATGGCGTGGTTGATCACCTCGGAAGCGCCCTGGTCTCGTGGGGATGAGGCGATACAAGCCCTACAAACCCCCAGCCCGAAAACACAGAGAGTCGGGTTGCCAAAAGTGACCCCTTGGGTTCAAGCAACCAAATCCTTCCATGGGGGTTCATATAGCCACCATTGTTTTTGTGGGGATCGTCTTCATCCAAATTGGGTCCCCATGCTATTCCTTTGATGGGGGGTTGAACCCGAGGGGCAAGTTTGTTTGCTGGGATATGGCATAAAGCCAACTCTCCACTCTAAACGTCTGAAAGTCTAAGGGCGACCAAGGACACCAGCCACCGAAGACCCTAACGAGGGGGTCTCAGTTGGGGGTCTTTGAGTGGTTGGTAGGGCCCAAGCGTGCGAGGCTTCGTCTAAGCCCCAGATTGCCGCCTTTTGAGGCTTCAACCGTTACCTGTGTCCAGCGTGCCAATTAAATGGTTGCAACCTGTTTGATGCTCAAACTATCCCGAGGGGTCCTTCCGCTTCCCATCAAAAAGAATGGCAGGGACCCACTTGGGATGATAACCCTTTGGAAAACCATGGTGATTATATGAGCCCCAGGACTATTCCTTAATCCTTTTGGTTTCCCCTTTACAGGACCCATGCTCTGGTTTCGAACTGCGACCAACTTAAGCCTTTTTTATTTCCCCTTTCAAGGACCCATGGTGTAAATGCAAGCAACGACCCGAGCTCGGCGCGTTGGCGGACACCAAGCCGCAGCGGTTCCGCATCCTCTCGCGGACCATCTCCGGCACCGCCTCGCGCGTCGCGTGAGGGACCCGCAAGGCTCAAGAGCTGGCATCGACAGGCAGGATGCATTGACTAGGTCCTCCAGAGAGGTTAGAATAAGGGCACCCGACTCTTTTTCCGTAGTCTACTTTAGTAGGGGAACCGAATCTCCCAACCAAAAAAGGAATGGTAAAAGAAAGTTGGCACCAATTGCTGGGGGACCGAATTAGTTAACAAGCTCACTGGGCAAATCATCCTGAGCCCGCTCCATGCCAACTCGAGAAAACATGCCCAAAGTCTTGGCTCTACCTGGGGAATGGCTCGGGGCTCGGTTCCGGGGGTCCTTCCAGAAGGTCCAAAACGGCCCCCCAAAATGGCGACCAAAACTGGACCCCCTTTGTGGATTTTCCGTGAGGGCTGCTTGAAAAGAGACCTCATCTTAAGAGTTCCCGAAGCTTCGGAAACTCGAGGACCTTTTTCTTGCCTCATGCCATGTTCGGAAACGAACGGTACACCACCCAAGGACCGAAGAAACGGGAAGCTAAAAGGCCAACGCAACAAGGCCCATCCGAATCCGGGACACCTCGAGATCGAACCCCAACTGAGCCATAGACTACCGATGCAATCTGGACCAAACCTCCCATGATTCAAAAGGGTACCACTCTTTGCTCAAACATCCCCGGAAGTTTGAAGTTTGGAAAGAGCTTGAGGTCTGGGTCGAATCAAATCGAGTTCAAAATGGGTGGGCTTCGGGCTCTATTAGTTAGGCTTTGCTTTAGGTTTAGGCTTGGGTATTTCGTGTGGATTTGTATGTGGGTGTTGCCGGCTTTTTTAGGCTGACAAAGAGATTCCCAAAAGTGTCACAGAAGTGGTTGGAGAACCCCCGAGGCTTTCCCGCTGCTTTAGTCTGGGACCCGTTCAGCTTTGCTTTGAGGCTGGTTCTGCCCTCCTCCCTCCATCTTCGAAGTGTCCCGTAAAACCCAGACATCAAGCTCTTTCCAAACTTCGAACTTCCGGGGATGTTTCAGCAAACAGTGGTACCCTTTTGCATCATGGGAGGTTTGGTCCAGATTACATCGGTACTCTATGGCTCATTTGGCTGTGGCTCAGGAAAACCGGAATTCCAAAATGGAAGCGTGGCAAGTGGGAACATGGACCACAACCTGCGGTTTGCCCCCGTTGTTTAATTTTGAGCCACACCCATTTGGGAATCGATCCCGACATTCCATTCAGTAGCGGCCGAGCCCCGGGCCTCATCGGCCAGGTACACCATGTCGTCATCCATCTTCAGGTAGATCTGCAGCTTTCGGCTTTCGGCTTCTCGAAAGCTCAAAAAAGCGCTGGTCTGGTTGCGAAACCACCTGAGGCACTTGCTCAAAACCCGGTATTAAAATGGTCTACCCAGAACTCTACCCAGAACTTTGTGAAGCATTAAGAAGGCGGATATCCGCAGCTATTTATGGTTGGGAGTATCCCTCACTAACCTTCATCTACCGGGTCTTGATTGTGGCTCACCTTTTGCCGAATGCCTTTGTTGGGCACCAAACTGTGACCCTGCTCGCTTCACCCTTTGAAATCCCCGTTCAAAGATGATGTCGATCAAGTTCTGGTTGATTCATACGCGGGTGCCTCGTGTCAAGGTATCAATCATAGGCAGAATGTATGACCCCTAGTTTGTTGGCGAACGGAACGTTCATGTTGGCTTCATTGTAGGAAACCGGCCTCCAACGTCCAACTTGGGTTCCCACGTCTATCCGTTGATGGAAAACCGGGCCCCCAAAGTTCATGGGGGCTGGGGGGGAGGGAGGGGAGGGGGAGGGAGCCCAAATAAGCCCTAAATAAGCCCTTACCCTTCAGTACCCTCCCACCCTCCCACCCTCCCACCCTCCCACCCTCCCACCCTCCCACCCTCCCACCCTCCCACCCTCCCCTCCCCTCCCCCCCAGTCCAGAAAACCCCCCCGCCGTCTCGGGATCGGTGCACACGGAATAGAACTTGGCCAGCCGCCTCGACACGGAGGATCCCCGGCCCGCGAAGGGTGGGTGGGAGGGACCTCCAAGCAGCTTCCTTCCCACCCATTGGTCGTTTGGATTGGTGGTTTGGAGAAAGTGGTGTCCCGGTCGTCGTGGATCTAGGTCCTCCAGATTTGAGAGGTTAGAATTTGTTCTTCTGTAGTCGATTTTAGTAGGGGAACCCGAAACCCCCAAAAAAGAAACGGTAAAAGGGCACTAATGGGGGACCTAAGGTTGGTGGTTAGAAGGTGGTTTCCCGGTTCGATCCCCAAACGAATCCAAACCACCAATTCAGGTAAACACCTGATCCAACAACAGAACGGCCCTGTCAAAAGACTTTGGGTTGGCGTCCGTTTGGACTCCAGTCCACACAGCCAACCGAAAAGGAGCCGCCATTTTGAGAAACACTCCGTCAAATACCTGTTGACGCGGCGCTTCTTTCAATTCAAGAGTCAGCCTGCAACCGAGGGCTGTGGGAAACGACCACTTCTGTGGACTAACCCCCCCCAAAGGTGGAGATTCCCGAAGGTATCACAGAGCTTGGGCCTTGATCCCACCCTGCCACCCGATGTTCCAAGATGCCCACGGAGCGCGCCCTGACAAAAAGTCCTTCGTGTTCCCCTTCCGGCTTGGCCCCCGCACACTTTCTGCATTTCCCGCAAGGTGCCGGCGCTCAAACGGATGCTTTCCAAAACCAACATCATGCGGGTATGTCACTATTGTGAGGCCTTTCGGCGCGACACTAGAAGGAAACTAAGAACCGCCATTTTGGGGGGGTACGCCATGTTTACAAGAGAAAGATGATCTGGGGCAGATTTCATGAAAGTCCGGACTGAAGGTCTGCAAGGTTCCTCCTCGCATCAAGAAACGGTCCACCAGCTGGGGTGCTCAAAGAAACAACTCCCACCAACCGAAGCGGTATCCAATCGCCACCAATGCTGATTCCATTCAGTGTACCCTTCCAGCATCTGCCCTCTGATGAACTCCATTGGTCCAACTTCTTCCTCGGCCAAACGATGGCCACCAGCATCCGCTATGCTGTTATTGCGTAATCTTCGATAGGGCCTTCAGGAAGTCGGCGATACGTGAGTTGGACACTTGGTTCAAAACGGGCATGTCTTTGTGTGAGGCATGTATTTGCGGTGGCTTTAAAAGGAAACTTTAAGGGAAAACCACCATTTTGGGGGCTCCCCATTTTCAAGACACGCCCAAACAAATGACCCACACGTTCCTTTTTCTCCAGCCAATGCCAATCCGGGCACTCTCGGCGCCTGCCGGTGACTGCTGGGTAGGCGAAGTGCGGGGCCTAGGTGTACACTGAGTCTTGGTCATAGCTGCACGTTCTCCATCCCAAAAGCCTTGAGACATAAACGGATTTCAACCAAAAGAACGATGGCTAAATCCAAAACCCAGGATGTCGACATCGTTGCTATCTTCGTGAAAGGAGAGCAAGACTGTCGATCCAGGTGTCCCCAGCAAGGTCCGCAAGTCTGACAATTCCAGTCGCACAATGAAGCAAAACAACTGTTTTGCTTTCCGGTTACCCCAGCTGGCAGCCCTAGCTTGACAACCTGACACATGACGAAGCAAACCAACTCCATTTTGCGGTGGAAGAAGATGGGAACTGCCTCCAAAACTTCAAAGGCTCCCCAATCAAGTTGCATTCACTTGGCGGTGTCCCTTCTCGAGCAAAGCACAAAGTTCTAGAGCAGGGCCCAGAGTGAACAGTGTAATGTAGCTCAGGGAAAAGGCTTCGCAGTGGATTGCGAGGGATCTACATGTTTGCTCTTTCTGCAAGACATGCGACTGGGGCCCCCCTTCCTGCCATGAGCCTCGCATCTGGAAGCTTCAGCTTCTTTTCACCAACCAGCATGGTGACGTGGCTATACCAGAGCTTGTGCGCCATGAGCCGCGATCGAAATGTGCTATGCCCTCTGGACATAGGTAGATTGGAGAGTTCCCAGTCATTGACCCGCAGCTACTGGACATGTCAACCGAACAAGAGGTCGCTTGTGAATGTTGGGACAGCCAACTGAACAGCTTGAGGACATTCCAAAAGAAGTCGATGGCTTAAACCAGGCGGAACAGATTTCGGTGTGTCAGTTGTTGTTGTTTTTTGGGGGGTTACCCCTTTTTGTGGTTTTAAAGAGAAACCAAAAGGACCACCACCATTTTGGGGTGGTCCGATTCCTTAAAAACCGCCATGCCGCCCATTCCGCGGGTCTCTTCCGTCGCCTTTTTGGAAGGGGCTCCCGGCGTGTGCGGAGATCAACTCCTGCAGGTAGTCCATGTCTTCCCTACGGACGAAGCCACCAAATCGTCTCGACAACGTGCCTAGGTCCTCCAGATTTGAGAGGTTAGAATAAGTTGGTACCTGTTTTTTTGCTGTAGTCTACTTCGTAGGGGAACCCTACCCCAAAAAAAGGGTGAGAAAGGGTACTACTGGGGGACCTAGGTGCCGGCCAGAGACGAGCCAAAGGCCAAGCCCCAGGAACCAAAAAAAACATCCGCCAAAACGCCCATTGGTTTTTTGGTTCCTTACACACAAAAACCGGTACCCCCCCCCCCCCACTTTTACGCAGGCCCAAATCCTGGGCAAACAAACTGGCCAGATCTTCACGCGACCAAATTCAGTCCGCATCGACCACCATCCGAGATGGAAACTTTGCCTTGCGTTCCGTGGTTGCCCGCTTCAAAAAGCCGACCGCAGGGTGGCTTGTGGGATGTTCGTTGCCAAGTGAGTGAGTTCTTGGTAGCCTAGGCTATATCTCGGAGATCAGGCCCCCTAAGTGGAGTTAACCTTGTGATTGGTCGCTCATAACCCAGCTGGCCAACCACTCATTAACTTGGCCGAGCATACACGCAGATTCTCTTGATTTGAGCCCTTTGGGTATCCCTCGTTGGGCTGACCGTCTCCTTTAGGGCTTCTTGGTGGACGTACAGGAAAATCCACGGACCCTTCCATTTGCTTTAAGCTCCCTCTGGAAAATTCCTTTCACCCATTCTTACCTAAGGATCGTCATCTAAATTGGGTCAATGATGGGGGTTGAACCCTGGGGTGGCACTGTTGGGCGGATGTTGAGCGCAAAGACTTCAGCTGAGAGCCTTGCCTCATTGCCGCGTGCACCACGAAGTGCACCTTGTCTATGACCTGTGGCGCAAGGTTCCCAACTTCTACCCACCTGGAAAAGGGCCAATGGCTTCTCAAACTCGGAAGCACAAGCATGGCCAAGGCTCTGTCGTCAGCATAGCTCATAAGCATGCCCAAAGACGGTCATGGCTCTCTTTGGCGTCGTGTTTGTCTAAAGTTCTTTGGAGTCGCCCATAAAGTGTCCAGGGGTCCACCCCTGGCCTTACTAAGCACCCCTTGGGTGCTGCCAAGCTACTCCTCCGTTGATCCGAAGATTCCGGACCAAGTACCTCGGCCAAAAGCCGAGCTCTGACTGAGGGTGGCCCCTTTTTTTGAGACACACCCAAATGAACAGCCCCCTCAGTTCGGCAACTGTGAATGGGCCTTGGTGCCTTGCTCATTCTTTCCCTAGTTGGAATCTTGTCATTGTTCTTCAATTTCCCTACACAACCGTCCAATTTCCTGCCATGAACATGGCGTATTTTGACCATGGCACACATGTTGTGTGATCTCCCAAAAGATGAGCTTGCAATTCGCGATATCGGTTTGGCCAGGGACGTCCGATCAAAGGAAGCAATTCGAAGAAAGAAAACTAACAGCCGCTGGGCGTCTTGCATTGTTCCATGGAGATCCAAGGAAGCAGGGACCCATGGTTGAGAAACTGAAAAAAGGTTGGGTTTTTTGATGAAGCCAAGTATTAATGAGGACACATGGTGAAAACAGGAGGTCTCGTTTGCCATGAATCCCATTGAAGACGAAACATCCAAATAGTAGGTGTTGCCTTTGAAGAAGCAGGTCCGTTTCGCCACGACCTGTTTTGGGGTCGCGAGTTTTCGTTCCGTACAAAAAAGGGGCCTCCAAGTCTTGGTTGCTGTTGACCCCTCTGCAAAAGCTTGAGACTTTTTGTGGGTCCCCAAGCTGTTTCAACCAAAAAGTGGAAGTCCGAAGATCTGTCGCCAAATAGAGAAGTCGAAGTGAGGGAAGTGAGGATGACAGGCCTTTCGCGCATGCCGCAGGCCTCGGAAAAGGGACCCCCCCTCCCTGCCCACCCACGTCCCCACGTCCGTGTCCTTCTTGGAAAATAGATGGCCCTGGTAGACTAGGCAAACCAAGCCCCCTATCTTTCGGCACCAAGCGAAATTTGGACACTGGCCCATTCTCTGGCAAACAACGGGTTCCGAAGTGGTGAGGGACCCTTTCTGGGGGGTTGTTTGAGATTGAATCTTGATTGAGGGGATGGGAACCACTGGGGTCATTCTTTTGACGGTTTCTAGATCAAAGTCAGAAAATGGGGTTGTTTCTCTTTAACCCACCACTTCTTTGATCATGGTAAAATAATGAGGCCAAAACCACCAACCACTTGACTTTGGGGGTTCTGACGGATTCGACCCTTGGGCTTGCGGCCTTCCGGCCTTCCGGCCATCCCGGCCGCGCGCTTTAGCCACCGACGATTTTCCAGCCATCCCGGTTGAGATTTGTTTCCCCTGTCAGCCTGGTTCAGGGGAAACCGAAAGGACAACCACCTTCAAGGTCTTCCTGGTCTCAACTACCAATCTGCTTCGGACTGTTGATGTTTCTGGTCTTCTTGGACTTGAAACTTCAACAGTCTAGTCTCAGTCCCGGTCCAAGAGGCCTGCAGAGGATCTCCACCCGGTCCTGGATCGATCCGCTCCGCAACGCGCCCAAAAGCAAGCAGTGGCAGTGGGGCGTTGGGATTTCGGATTTCAACTTCCCCGCCAACGCGGAACCTGACAGTGGGGGGGGGGCTGGACGACCACCTTCCTCTGAAAAACGATCCTCCGGTGGTTCCGGGTCAGACGGCGGGGCACTGCTTTTGCAAGCCAAAATTCCAGGTTTGGGGATGGACGGTGAACTCACCAGCAAGGAAGGTGGCTGTCCCGCTCGAAAACAAGCATGTCACTTGCTGAATGTTCAACGCTGTATCAAACAAAAAACTCCTCCATTTTACCCAGTGGCTTGCCGATCCACGTGCGACAAGCGAAACTTGGAGGTGTCATACATCCAACTGCCCAAACTCAAATCCAACCGATGCCTCACCGATCCAAACTTCGAGTGCCTCCCGTTGGGTCCTTCCTCCCGTAGACCACCACCGCCTCGACGCGTTGGCTCTCCAAACCTGCGAAGGGATGCATGGAACATGGGCCCATGAGCCTTGCGGGGAAAAACAAACACAAAAAACACAAAAACGCCTAGATGGCCAAGTTGCGATCGCTTTCTTCAGTCACTGGTGCTGGTTTTTGGGGTAAAGTGCATGGGACAAAAACGGCAACTGGCGATCCAGGAGGGCCTCACTTGCAATGAAATCCTCTTGGTACTGGGGATGCATGGACATCCATGTCGCGCCACCCTTCAGAAACCATGATGATTCCCCTGCACATTCCAACAAACGATATGGTTTCAACCATGGTTCTTTAGGTGGTGCGAAATGGATTTCGTCCATCCGCAGTATGACGAATATCCAGACTCAAAAAGGCCAAACCTAGATTTTGGTCAGGGTGAGTCACCTGGCGGTTGTCATCCATATGGGCCGCTCGCCTTTTGGAGTTAGTACCCCTTGAGTGGTGTCTTTCCCAGAGTTGGTACCCCTGTTTTGTGGTTTTACAGGGAAACCAAGAGGGCGTTCTTTCAAACCGACCATTCTTGGGGGTCCAACCCAATTTTCGGACACATATGATCATGACCTGCGGTCGCTTCCTATCCAGAAGCCAGGTGGTCAAACCTAGGCTTCCTGTATTGCCGAACCCTCCGAGCAGCAGCATGGGCAAAAGTTGAATTTAAACAAATCCGTTGGTGGGCATCTGCATGTGAGTCACTTGCTCAAAACCTGGTACAAGAATGGGCGAACCCAGAGCCATGTAAAGAATTGGAAAGGCGGATATCCGCCACTATTTCTGGCTGGGACTGCCGCTTAACCTTCGTCTACCCGAATCGGTTTTGAGCACGTGGCTGTGATTTCGTGTCCAGAAGTCATAGCCACCTGCCTCGTCTCACAAGCGGGTCCCCGCTCCCATGGTGTGTTGATCCCTTACCAGTTCAAGTTTTGGTGGGGAGAGGTCACAAATCCCGTCAAATCCCCATGAAAGCCAGTCGAACAAATCAACCAAGTTTTCAAGGAACCACACTGGGGCCTCCTTGCAACCCGGACCACCTTTCCCCCGTCCGGCCTGCGCTGAGCACCGAGGGCGCATAGGGCTCTTTGGCCCTGCACTGAGGCTCCCTCGGGTCTCCGCCTGCGTTCGTGCGATCTTGTTGTTGCATCCCAAAAGAAGCAGCAACCAAATCTAGGTTAACAACTAGGTCCTCCAGTAGAGAGGTTAGCATAAGGGTACCAAGTTTTTTTCAGGACGTCTATTTTAGTAGGGGAACCCTCCCCAACAAAGGGTAAAAGGTTATATGAACCTTACTAGAATCCTTGTTGCACCAGGTCCTCAAATGGCCAACACCTTTGGCCTTAAGCAGCATTTCAAGAAAGAATCCTACACATGTGAACTCATCATTTCATTGTTTGCCAAATAATATGAAGAGCCCGCAGCTGCTCAATCAAAATAGCCAGCTGCTTGTCAATAAACTCAAGCGCAATAATTACCTTACAAGGCGGGTGCTGTGCAATGCGACCTTTTGCTCATGCGCCTGGGAATCAGGAGGGACATATTTGCACCATTCCATCATTCTGTCAAAGTCCAACACGCTTCCTCCCCCATTTTGCGTATCAGCTTTGTTCTGAAAGGGGTTTTCAGGCAAAAACTGTCTTCTCCAAGCAACAACCGTCATGCCGACCTGGTGCCGCGACTCCAACTGAGAGGTGACCCGGCACATCTGAAGGTGCAGACGCCCCAAGCTCATCCAGGCAATCTTGCTTGTGCTGTTCTCCAAGCTGCACAGTATCCCGCTTCTTTGATTCCCATTCCTGCAGCAATGTGGCACATGAGCGCTGAAGCAAGTGCCATCACTTCTTACTTTCAGCATCCATGTCAGTCGTAGCAAGAAGCATATCTGAGCTTGGCCCAATACTTACACTCCCAGAGGATGTGTGCTACATCACACTTCGGCCTTGCACTCAAGGCATGCAAAAACAGTACAGAATTTATTGCGCTGCTCAAATGGAAACCCCAGTTTTACAGGGGTTACCAGTTTTAGATGGGTTACCCTATATCTCCCCTTGATTTACCCACCAAAGGAAGCTCGCTGCAAAAATAACTGAAAATGTGATTTTCATCCAAAAAAGGGGAAATAGGGTAGACCAAAGAGATTGGATGGTGGCCATCTTTTAAGCTTCCCGCCACTTCGATTGGTAGTTTGCAGGCCAGGGGTGGTTTTCCATTTGCCTGCTACAAGAACCAAGGGCTCAATCCCATCAATCCTCAACAAATCTCCGCCCAAAGGAGCTATGGGAGTTCTCAGACGTATGTGTTTAACCAAGCTTTTTGGGGCCGAATAAGCAGAAACGGCTGGTTTTGTGATGCCGGTCTTAATGAGAGAAGGGCCGGGGGTCCCATTTTGGCTTTGGGGTGAGCCCAATAGCCTTTTGCTTGCCTCTCTTGGAAAAAAAGCAATCTGCCTCAATCTGGGTGTCTATTTTTGAGGGTACTCCCTTCTTGGTGGTCTTCTGCAGGAAAACCAAGAGGAAAACCAGCATCATGGTATTGTTGTTGTTTGTTTTTTGCTTTTCTTTTCTTCTTTTTGGGGAGGGGGGGGTGGGGTCCTGTCCTGCCAAGAGACACACCCACTCGTGTCTGGCCGAAATTCGAAACCATGGGTGACCTACGGCGCAGTGAACTCGCATCGCATCCAGGCCTGCAAGGGTCTTGTAGACCACAGGTGCCTCATGCCAAGAGCTTAGGGGTGCCTTGGGATGTGCGGGTGTCTTATTTTTAGCGGACTCCAGGTTCCTTTTTGTTTCCGTTTCTAAAACCACCAAAAAAACGTACCCTCAAAAAAAGACACACCCATGTGTTTTTGAGGCACCCATTTTGGTTGGGTGGTAAGGGAAACCAGACGGAAAGGCGAGAGTGGCTCCCCTTTTCTGGTTGGTCCTCCTCTTCTCGTCCTCTACAAGCCAACAGACTACCAAGGATATTGTTGCGTATTGTCAGTGACTCACGTTGTCGGTCATGGCCATGGTCATATATCACTTTGAACGATATTGATTCCCTTGGTATCACAGAAAGTGGCCCTAAAACCAACAGCTTCTCCAATATCATGCGTTCAAACTTGTACTCAACCACTCAAGCATCACTCGGCCTCCCAAAAAGGAACGACCTTCGGACTCTGTGTCATCGTCACCCTAAAAATAATCCAGTGCCGCAGGCAACCCCAGGTTTTGTGAAGCCATGTGAATACCATGGCCACTGGTCTCCTCAGTCACCGCTTTAACCAAGGTTTGTTCAAGGCTCCCTACATGTCCTCCTTCACCCCAAAAGCGCACTAGCTGAAAATGGCCCCCAAAAGGTGACGTTCAAAACCGGGGAATTGTCGGGACCCCTTCGCTTCCTCTTCAAATTAACGGAAGGAGCCCAAAAAGCAGATCAAAACTCAAAAAGGAACTTTTCTAGAAATGGGTGGTATTTGGATTTCGTCCGTTCAGAAGAGCATCCCCTTCAAAAAAACTGCCTTCAAGGGAAAATATGTCCTTAGGTGACCCCCAAAATGGCTTCGGTGTTCCTTTTCGCCAAAAGGGGGGTACCAACTCCAAAAAAGGGAACGGGAACCCAGTTCTGGCCTACTTGAATATTCAGCCAAGTTAGTAAGTGGCTAGCCACCTTGATTGTAACCTGCTAATAACAATAGTAACTCCGCTGAATGGGGGATTTCTTATCAGATCATAGCTTTGACAGCTGACTGACTTGGCGGATCAAACATCCAACAAACCAGGATCACCCATGGAGAAAAAACTTGGATCGTTGCTCAACAAACAAGACGTGTGGTACCCCCTTCAAAAAAAAAAAAACGCCCGCAGTCGCGTCCTCCAGGTGCCGCAGGAGCTCCAGCAAGGGCCAGCGCTCCAGCAAAAAGTGGTGCAGAGGCCACGCCTTGCTGAGCGCCCAAGTCTTGGCCTGACGGAAGCGGAAGCCCAGCGGCGCAAGCAGAAGCGGCGGAGAGGCAGAGGCGTCCTTTTCGGGCAATAGCCATAGGCATAGGTGTCCTCTTTGATGGAAAATAGATGGGTTTTTCTGGTAGATGAGAAAAAACCAACCAGGTAAACCAGGGATCGCCATCTATTTTTCGACCAACACAACCAAAAAGGGCACCTATGCGGAGAGGCGGTTGAGCTATACTGAACACCGATTCGGTTGGTAACTCGCTGGTGTGATAGGAAGGGAATGTGGGAATGAACCCAGGCTTTGGTCCCCTCAAAGGAAACCACCAGTTGAGGGTCATTCCATTTCTCATTCCCTGCTGAGCACCAGCAAGGCCAGGTGGACCCCATATTAGTCAACCACTGCTTATTCATAGGGGGGTGGTGTTTAGCCCCTCCGAAGCGGTCTGATTCCCCAAAATCTCACCGGGACACCCCTCTATTGGTAAACTGGGGGGGATTAATATGGGGTCAACAATAACAAACTCGTCGATACCCGGAATGCTTGATCACCATCCAGACTAGTCAACTGCTTCAAGATCTTTCAAAAGAGCAGAGATCCGCACCCATTTCTCTGGTCGGGATTCTCCCTTCACCTTCATCTACCCTTATCTTTCGAATGGCTCACTTGGGACCCAGGACCACGGATCTCAACGGTTCAGACCAATTTCCTCCAAAAGATCAACCATGGGTTTACAGGGCTCCCTATATTTCCACTTAAAATTTTCACCCTCACCAAGGGATACTCGCCTTTCATGGGCCAAAAAGGTGATGTTTTAAACGGCCAAAAAGGGAAATATAGGGACCTTGGTTTAAGTCTGGGGCTCCCCCCTTGGATCCCAAGCCTTGAAGCGCTCGCTAGGTAACCCTTCGCCATGCTCCATTTTCAGAAATGGAATCACTGGGCCATCTTAGGGCTTCAAGTAAAACCGAAGGGAACAGCAAACCATTTTGGAGGGGGGGGGGTTGGCTCAGGGCTTCATTTTTCCATCTACCCCAAGGTAGACTTAAACCCAAAACCTTCCCTCTTGGGGAAATCAACCTTTGGTCTACATCTAGGGCTACTCAACAAATGCAACCCCAGACCCGCGGAGTCCCATGCTGCCAAAAAATTGAATCGGCACTCTTTCCTACTTGGCACAGGTGGGTTATAAAGGAAAACACATGGTGAAAAACGAAGAACCGCGAGATTTGGTTTTCAAGGGAAGCCAGAGACTGCTATTGGGAAAAAGATTAACATGATGAAACAAGTCGCTGAAATGAGTCACAATCAAAACCCGGCATATATTAAAATGGTGGACCCAGACCCATGTGAAGAATAAACAAGACCACCCGAAAATCTTGCCGGCGCTCTGGCATAGATGCAGAACCAGAACACTCGGTTCGTCGACCCACTGTTTCCGCGCACCATCGAGCACCGGAGTTCGAGATCAGAATGCGAAGAGCACAGATTCCACAGCCATTGTGAAAAGTTGAGGTTGCGAGATCTCACGGACCCGCGGTCTCCGTTCGTTTGGGGGGACGTCAACCACCTTGGTTAAGTCTCCCTAGGGCCTAGGGTGATCCGACTGAAGGAACACGCTTTAGGGTTTCAAAGGCAAATCTCGGGTTTTGGTGTTGAAGGAAACCCGAGCTAACCAGCTAACCCCATACCCTCCTTTAACAAAAAGATTCGTAGACCGGTTGTCAAGGGCCCCAATCCCAATAGTACCAACTTTTAGCGACGAAGTCCTGCAAAATGAAATGTTTCTCAACATAGTGGTCCTAAAATGGTGAGGGTCTCCTTTTGGTTTGCCTGTAGCGAATGTCGCAAATGGGAAACGCTCTATTGGGTTTCCCACCCCTCCTTCCCACAACCCCATTGAGGGTACTCTTGTTTTGATAGTTGCTTCCTTCTTAAGGGAAATCCCGCCCCCCCCCCCCCCCGCCCCCACAGGGTCAAACCCCCGACAAAAAAAATGGCAAGGAGCCGATTTAGATGATGACAATCCTAAATATGAACCCAATGCCGCTTGCCCCCCTTGTCTCCCCTTGTCTCCCCTTGTCTCCCCTTGTCTCCCCTTGTCTCCCCTTGTCTCCCCTTGTCTCCCCTTGTCTCCCCTTGTCTCCCCTTGTCTCCCCTTGTCTCCCCTTGTCTCCCCTTGTTTCCCCTTGTCCTTGTCTCCCTTTGTCTCCCCTTGTCTCCCTTCATATGGGCCACAAATCAAACAGGTTCCTGCCGCTTTCTCTTTCCCCGTCTGCCCCTGTCCTGCCGCTTTTTGTCCCCTTGTCCCCCCTGGTCTCCTTTCAAGAAGCTGCAGTTGGGGTCGGACAGGTTGCCATTGATTTGAATGCTTGACTCCGAGGGCTCCCACACACAAAACAAAACAAGGGCATGGAGGGATAGAGGTCCGAAAAAGGGCCCCCTCTTTTGCTGGCGGGACCCCTCTGCAAATGGTGTTTAACTGGTGGGTGAAAGGGAAAGTCCTTGCTTCTCCAAAGGTTAAAGTCTAAAGATCCGTTAACTACGTCCTCCAGTAGAGAGGTTAGAATAAGGGTACCAACTTCTTTCAGGACGTCTATTTTACTAGGGGAACCGAATCTCCCAACCAACAAAGTTGGTGAGAAAGGACCCTTTCGCTGGGGGACTCGGGGACCTAGTTCATCTACACCCTGGGGTGAAACCATTGAAACCATTGAAACTATGGGAAAACGGATCCGGTTTTTGGAAGGAACGATGGTTGCAAGGAATGGAAAAGGAATCACCTAGAAAAGCGCTAGGTGTCAAAATAGGGCCCCCGAATAGTGGTTGTAAAACCGTCTCAGTGACTTGCTGGTGCGACAAGGAATCAACCCCTAGATTACTCCAGGCCTCTCGATGCGAGATTCGCATCGACTGATCTGAGCCTCCGAACGTGCTGCTCGCCCTCCGCCAGCAGCTCCTCAGCCTGCGAAGCTTGCCAGCTTTAGCTTCTCACGTCGACGACTGCTTGGGTAACTGTCGGCCAAGTTAGGAAGCTTCTAGGGGTTGATTCCTTTCCCATTCTTTTCAACCATCGCTCTTTTCAAAAACCGGATCTGTTTCCAACCTGGGGTTTTGATGGTTTCCTGAAAAGAAGGATCCCTGGAAAGAAGGGGCCCTACAAAGTTGTCTTGGAGATCAATTGGGGAATACCGGGGATATCCCTTGTGGTTAAAAGGCAAACCCTTACGGGAAATCAGACTGAAAGCCAAAGGAAACCTATTCTCTGGGGCCAGAAGATAGCTTGGGTCTTCGATTAGCCAAGTTTCGTAAGTTGTTAGCCTGACCACTTACTAACTGGCCGAACATCCAAGTGGCGAAACGGGGCATGGCGTCCTTTTTGTTAAGCCCCCCCCCAAACAAAAAGGCAGCGGGGTTCTTGACCCCCCCCCCAAAAAACAAATAGGGGGTCCTATTTTGAGGGGCTCCCCCCAACACATATATATATATATATACATATAGATATATAGAGATGTCTGTGTATATATGGTTGGTTGCCCGTTGGTGTCCAACAAAGGGGTGCCAACTCAAAAATGATGCGAGCCACCCAAATGCCAAGTGATGGTCAGTGAACCTGATCCCAAAGTTATTCCAAGACATATCAAAATCTGCCCTTGGGTGTCTTTTTTGGGGGGACCCCCCCAAAATGGCGGCTGTCCTTTTAGTGTTCCTTGAAACCAACGGTGCCAAGTTCTAAAAGGACGAGCCACCCACTTCGAGACACCAGTTTCAACCAGGCCAGTTGAAGGTATTGATTTGTCTCACCGAAAAAGTTGGCGTTAGACTTAAGCCAACCCGGGAAATACGCCCCGAAAAAGAACATCCAGGCTAATAGCCCAAGGGCACACTACCTTCCACAATAAAGACTACCCCGAAAGTGTGTATGTTTGTGTGTTTGTGTGTTTGTGTGTCTACCCCAAAAGTGAATTTTATAGACATAGACTTGTTGCAATGTCATTTGCTTTGGCAAGACTTTTATAAATGTTATTACCACTGTTTGCATGGTCTCTTTAGAAAATACAAACCCCTACTTCTACTTGGCCTCCTCTAAAAGCGGGCCTTTCTCTCACGCCTTTGGGGCCGTTCGTCGCCTCCTTCCACGCTGAGTAATGCGGAACTCCACTTAAAGGTGGTTAGTAAGCCTGGATATAACCCACGGAAAGGAGACTTATAACCATGGCTTAAGTGGGTTATAACCATGGTTGTTACCCACTTACTAAGTACAATGCCCCTTTAAGTGGTACCTTATTGCCCTACCGAACCTGTCCCCTGAACAAAACAAGATCATATTTCCCCGTACTAACCGCTTACCAAGTACACTGCCCCTTTCAGTTGATTGCCGCGGCCGGGTTCGCAATCTTGCTTGCGGACATCATTCAAGCACTCTACAAAAACACTCCTTCCCTCCCCCCCCACAAAAAGAAAAAACAACACCCGCCCAAAAAAAAGAAAGTCCAGTCCCCTTCAACCCCCCCTCCGCAGAAAACCACGCCTCCTGCGGGGTGCCCTTGGACGCCAAGATCCAGAGAGCAGCGGCCACCTCGAACGAAACCAACTCGCAGAGCCGGCCGAAATTCGAGCAGCCGGTGCCCTTGAAAGCGGTGGAGTCCAAAGCTTGGGTTTCCCCAAGAGGTGTCGTCCGAAAGCTGATCTCAGAGTGATGACGAAAAAGCCCAGGTGTTTCAATGAACCACCTCTTTTCCTCTTGCTGGTGCGATAGGTAGGGAATGACCGAGTCCGAGTGTTGGGAATGAACGGGCTTTGGGGGTCGATTACAGCAAACCAAATCGGGGACGGTTTATAGGTCGTAAGCAAAAATACCATTGTTGGGTCCAAGTGGGTATGTTGACAGCTTTGTGACACATGGGTAAAATGAGGAGTCGTAGATACCAAGGTTTCCTCCGTTTCACAGCGAGAATCAGATTTCCCGGGTCTGCTTCAAACAGGGGCCGACTCAAAAACAAAAAAGGCACTCATGTGTCTACAAAACAAAAGTTCGGGAGGAGACCCCAGAAGAGCACATCGAAAGACTCGAACCCGTCCCTTCAAGTTCGTCCCCCCCCATGTCCCATTTAGGGACCATCAACCGGTTTGATCCAACCCCGCATTGCTTTGACCAACATGGCGGCAACAGGCAAAGCACCAGTACTCAATACCGCACTTCTGCATGCCCTGACATGCAGAAGTGCCCTCGAATTGGGTTATTTGGGTCTGCCTTTTTGGAGGGTACCCCTTTTTTTGGAGGGTACCCCTTTTTTTGGAGGTTCGAAGGAAATTAATAGGAAAATCGCATTTAGGGGTCGTTTAAAGAAATATACACATTTATTTTATAGAATTCTTAGCGGTTTATTAAGGGTGCAGACCCAAAACGAAACTTAACATGCCTTCTCAAGAACAGTCCGATTCAAGAGAGATGACCCGTGTTAGCAGCCCCTATTTCCCCAAACGCTGAGCCCCAGCTGTACGTCCAAAGATTGTCTGAACAATCTAATCCTTCAAATCAGCTGGTACCCTCCCTCCAACTAACATGGCACCTCACAGACGGTCCCTTCAGGAGCAAATTGATCTTCCAGGTACCCTCCAACAGGTGCTTTAGTGGGAGAGAGGGTAAATGTGAACGTCAATGCCAAATTGTATCCTTTTTGCAACGCTCTAGGAGTTGATTCCCCATTCTTTTCAACCTTCGCTCTTTCCATAAACCGGCCGTTTTCCCTGGGTTTCCGGAGGTTTTCTAGAAAGAAGGATCCCTGGAAAGAATGGGGAAGGTACCCCTAGAAACGCCAAAGAGGCGTTGCAAGACTCCTTCCCCGGCCGAGGTCGGCCCAAGAAGCATCAAGCATTTCGCCGGATCTCTCGGGACCTGTCCGTGGGTGCCTTTAGAAAAAAGGACACCTATGAACCTGTTTGGTCGACGCTAGTATTCCATTGGCGCGTAACAACACGAGGGCGGCATTGTCGTAGTCGCCTGAGTAGTCACGACCCGACACATCGCGGTTCTGCTTGATGCCCTGCTGGAAATACGTGGAGACGTGCGGCAGGGCCTGCAAGACACATCTACGCCGCAGCCAAGGGATCTTGTAGCCATGCCGGCAGCTCAGCTGCTCCCTGTATTTGCCGGTGTTCCATGGGTTTACCACGGACGGCTGAAAAGAAGGGAATAGATCAACCCCACATGTCCTTTTTGAAAAAATAAAAGAATCCATTTATCTTCAACCAAATCGAATTCCAACAGGACATGTGTCCCCAAAACATAGCCCTTTTGGGCTGGTCAAGGGAAACCACTATCAAGACAATGGGGGGGGCATACAACCGCCATTGACGACCCGGCTCAGCCATTACTTTAATGGGGGTGAACCCTGGGAAGAGAAACAGGACCTTGGCCACCAACAAGTTGACTCCCCTTTTTTCATCTCCTGGTTCCCTGGTTTCTTGCTTCAGGGGCGATCGAGGCAGGGTACGTCAGGTAAGCGGTTCTAATACCCATCGTGAGATCACCCACGTAGTTTTCTTCGTCTCCCTTCAATGGTTGCTATCTCATCTCACCACTTCACCGAATCGAAGTAGAAACTGAACTCGGCCAAAAGGGATCAGTGGCAATGTTATCTCTCACCAGACTTACTCTCACCACTTACGTGACGCTCACCGAATCGATCGCCTTGAGCCCTCAGGACCCGCACCGCGGGAGATTCCGGCGCCTCAGCGCTGGGCGAAACACTTCGCGATGCGGCCAACCCAATCTGCAAGCTGTGAGATGGCGACGTTCCAAGAAAAAGTGACAAGTGCCTCTGGGAGGTTCATTAGTTGAAAAAAATCTATGTGACTTGAACATGCTCCTTTCTCACAGAGGTGGCAAATTGGCAGCAAAACTCTCATGGTTGTCCAACGATTTTCCTGTGTGCTTCCTCCATCCCACCTCCTACTGTTTCCTACCCATTCCCGTGATTTCCCCTGACTGCTTCTTTTCGAAAGCCCTAAAAAGGTCCAAAAAAGGTGCTGAGCACAAAGAAGTTGAACAAAAAGTCTCCTCGAGATGTCTCCTCCGCTGGGTGAAAATCTCACAACTCACACGCTAGATCATTTCATGCCAGGGCTATTGGCTATAGATACCCTGCCTCCGAAGAATTGCATCCTATTCGGATGTTCGGCCAAGATTGTAAGTGGTTAGCCACCTGGGTTATAACCCAAGTGATAACCCAGGAAAGAATCAGATCAAATTGAACTACAGTACAAAAGCTCATTCCAGTTGCTACCTGTAATGGTACAAAAGCTAATTCCAGTACTGGAAGCAACAAAAAACACCACGAGTCCCGCTGTCTCAATCCTTTGTTGGCTTCCATCCCGCCTCGGCCCGATCGGCGGAGAGGGCTTGAGCCGCCCAGGGCAGCAGCCCGGCCAGCCGACCTGGCGAGCGAAGTGGGACACGGACGGTGCCCAAAAGCGGTTTGGGCGGCGATCGAGGCAGAGTACGTCAGAGAAGTGGACAGATAGCCATGGAGCCCATTTGCCGTCTTAGAACTAAGCTACCCCAAAATGCCGAGTTTCCTTTTGGTTTCCCTCTTAAAGGGGCGATTCGGTACGTCAGGTGAGTGGGTAACAACCATGATTCTAACCCACTGAACGGAGACCTATAACCATGGCTGATATGTTCTACGAGCGGGTTACAACCCAGGTGGCGTAAGCACGTACCAAAATTTGGCGAGTCGAACATCATCCCTGAAGATCCTTCCGCCGGCCATCATCGGAAGGGCGTTTTGGGAGGCGTCAAGGCTCGCCCCGAGGCCTCCAGGCTCGACGGCCGACCTCAAAGAGCCGATGTGCCGATTGGGAAACGAATCCCCTTGGCCTCAAGACTGGGCGCGTTTGCCGATCCCCCGCAAGAAGTCACTAACTTTTTGAATGGGTTAAATAAAAACTGCCACTAAACACAACACTAGAAGGCTAGGGGATGGCTGGGAGCCACCAAGAAAATCAAGATCTCTAAATCGTGGTTCACAAAGAACCACCCCCGACAGCTATCCTTCATGACTTAATGAGCACCAAGCGGAAAGAACCCCCGAATCCCCATAGAAGGAGGGGCGAACAAAAGGGCGCCCAAGAGGAAGAAAATGGGCATGGGTCAAAATTAAACCACCAGAATGACTGCAGGTGTTACTTCTTGTTTCCATTTGCCTGGGTTCCATGTTGGGTACTGATTTTGGACGCACAGCCATATCCTTTGTTCCCACCAGGAAAACTTCCTTTGTGGAAAGATACCACGCCCAAAGAAAGGACCGCTTCCGACGGACCGCCGGGAGGCGGCTTTTGGGAGCATCTTTTACAACAGACGGATTCCGAACTGCGAAGTGACTGACAACGTCTTGGTCAGCGGAAAATGATGAAAAGCCCAAAAAGGCAAAGTCCAAAAGTTGCTCGGAGAGTGGCTATGCACCCTCCAAACCCTGATTCAATCGTGGCGCGGTTCAATCTTATCTCCACTTCAACTGAAACAAAGGTGTGTAAATTGGGCAAGCCAAAAACCAATCAGGCCAAAAACCCAGCTTTCAACGGCTCAAAAATTCAGAGACCCTGCAGCTTTCCCTCTATCACCTCTACAATTTTCCACATGTTGGCATGGGCTTGCAAAAAAACCTGACTCTTTTTTGCGGCCCACTACTAAAACTGAAGAACCAAAAACCTAACAACAGGATAAAAAACATGCCGACAACAGTGAAGACAACTTGACCCCTGCCTCTGATTTTAAAGAGCCGACTCGGCCGAAAGGAGCCATTGCAACCCAGCGACAATTCAATGAATCGCAACGGGGTAGGGTAGAACCTGCAGTGAACCATGATAGTGGCCTGTGAATCTCGGTTGCAAATAGGGATATGATTGTGAGCAACACGATTTTGCTCCTGATTCAGAGCCGACTCGCAGCCGACAGAGTCCAGGGTTCGGTATATTCACCAAGGGCCTCCCGGAAAAGCGTCACTGGTCACGAATGGGTGGCTCGCCTCGTTTTGGAGTTACCCGTTTTGAGATGGTGTCAAAAGGAAACCAAAAAGGACAACCAAGTTCTTCGGGTCCGATTCCTATGTTGAGGCAAAAAGAAAAAACCTATCAACCACGAAACGGCCATCATACCCTTGAGGCCGCGATCTGATGCGGTCAACCAAGTTTCTACCTGCGAGCTCCTTTCACGGCCACATATGAAGAATGATTCTCCCTGCCATGCTTTAACTTCCATTTGGCTAAGACCCCTGGAAAAAAAGAAGAAAATATGTCGAGTAGTGAAAAAATCCTTTCAAAACAACAAGGGGAAATTTAATCTTCTTAAGCAAATGGAAGGCTTCAATCAGTTGCTCGGCTTTGCCCTCAGGTCTTTTTAAGGACCCCAGCACCAGCTTCTCCGGCGGCTCGCCACTACTGGGACGGCATGAGAATCCATGGGAAAACACGGGCGGCTCGTCTTTCTTGTGTGGAGTTGCCCCATGTGTTGGGCGGGATTTGACGAAAAGCCAAAAGGTAAACCACCGAAATGTTCGGGGGTTCTTGTTTTTTGGAGTTGCCCCCTGTTTTTGCCGGGCTTTAAAAGGAAAGTCAAAAGGAAAGCCGCTGTACTTTCGCGGGGGGGGGCGGGAAAGAAATGTTCGGGGGTCCCAAAAATAAGACACACCCGCATGGTAGCCGTTCAAGAATCTAAGAGTAGGGTTACCAATTGACTGGCTCATGTCGGAAGCTTGGTCTTTCAATTCACCTATCATCTACGTTGCTGGCTTGGTCATTGTTCTAAGGTTCGGAGCAACCCAGGAACCGTTGAGCCCATGGCGACCCTCTTTTAGGCCCTTTTAGGCCTCCCCGTGAAAGGCGACATCCCCGACCCCCCCCCCCCCCCCGACCACTTTCCGGGCAGCCTGCGGCAGGAGCCAAAGCAACGGTTGAAGTCAACGACGAAAGCTCGGTGAACTGTTCCAAAGGAACGTCGCACCGCGTGATGCATCAGAGTGTTATGATGAGTAGTTGAGTATCAGGAACATCCAAATGGGCCCAAGAAATGCTTGAACCCAAGAGAAGCCATTGGGAGCCCCGCCTGTCGAGTCTGGGATGAAGATGCTTCGGATCCTGGACATCTCGAGTTCCGCTTGAGGCAGACCAAAACCCGGCCCGCGAGTGAATTTGGGTCTATCCTTTTTTCGAGGGGGGGGGGGGGAGTTGAAGGGACACCAAAAGCAAACACAGAAAAACACCATTTCCCCCACAAAAACGCATACCCTCTTGAGGGTATCAGCTGCTTTTGGCCCAAATTGCAGCTGGAGGAGTTCTGAAGAGCGCAGGTTGTTCACGTCACACATTCCCACATGTCCCCCTCTTCACCCCCCAAGAAAAAAAAGGAGCTTCAAAACAAATGGTGTGTTGGGTGCGACATGGGTTTTGTTGAGTGCTCGGAAGCCTCGATGTTGAACACAGAGAGGTGGATCTATGGCACTTTCCGATTGAAACGTCAAAATCCCGTACCCCCCCCCCCTGAACATCCCAAACCCCACTTAAATAGACTAAAAGGTGCTCAGATAAGCTGATGATGTATGGCGGGGGGGAATACACTGTGGGCGATGCTGGCGACGCTGGCAATGCTTGCGATGTTGTCACACATCTGCCCTTGCAATTAAATGCAGCTGGGCTTCAAGCTGATGATGCATGTTGGAAAGTGGTGTCCCTGGATAGAAAGCTGCTGGCGAAGCTGGCAATGCTTGCGATGCTGGAGAGTCTGCCAGCTGAAATTCACTGCAGACATCGTGGGTTTTGCTTGCAAAGTCCATCCAAGGTAGAATCTCAACTATCGCAATGAAACGTTGACTGACTGGGCTGCAAATACGCTGATGATGCATGTTGGAGGCTGATCTCCCGACCTCCAAAGCTGAAAAGACACTGTTGGCGATGCTGGTGACGCTGGCATTGCTTGCCATGCTGGCGCGCGTCTGGCAGCTGGAATTCCTCGAAAGCTGGAAAGCCACTGCTGGCAATGCTGGTGGTGCTGGCATTGCTGGCGAAGCTGGCAAGCAGTTGGAATTCACTGCAGAATGCTGGGAGTAAGGCAGCAGGAACTCAACTATCACAGACTGGCTGGGCTTTCTACAAGCTGATGATGCATGTTGCACTGCTGGCAATGCTGGCGACGCTGGCAATGCTTGCGATGCTGAAGAGTCTGCCAGCTGAAATTCACTGCAGAAATCGTGGGTTTTGCTTGCAAAGTCCATCCAAGGTAGAATCTCAACTATCGCAATGAAACGTTGACTGATTGGGCTGCAAATACGCTGATGATGCATGTTGGAGGCTGATCTCCCGACCTCCAAAGCTGAAAAGACACTGTTGGCGATGCTGGTGACGCTGGCATTGCTTGCGATGCTGGCGCGCGTCTGGCAGCTGGAATTCCTCGAAAGCTGGAAAGACACTGCTGGCAATGCTGGTCTGGCATTGCTGGCGAAGCTGGCGAGTGTTTTCCAATTGGAATTCACTGCAGAATGCTGGGAGAATGCATGTTGCACTGCTGGCAATGCTGGCGACGCTGGCAATGCTTGCGATGCTGAAGAGTCTGCCGCTGAAATTCACTGCAGAAATCGTGGGTTTTGCTTGCAAAGTCCATCCAAGGTAGAATCTCAACTATCGCAATGAAACGTTGACTGATTGGGCTGCAAATACGCTGATGATGCATGTTGGAGGCTGATCTCCCGACCTCCAAAGCTGCAAAGACACTGTTGGCGATGCTGGTGACGCTGGCATTGCTTGCGATGCTGGCGCGCGTCTGGCAGCTGGAATTCCTCGAAAGCTGGAAAGACACTGCTGGCAATGCTGGTGGTGCTGGCATTGCTGGCGAAGCTGGCGAGTGTTGAATGCTGGGAGCAAGGCAAGGCAGTAGGAACTCAACTATCACAGACTGGCTGGGCTTTATATAAGCTGATGATGCATGTTGCACTGCTGGCAATGCTGGCGATGCTGGCAATGCTTGCGATGCTGAAGAGTCTGCCAGCTGAAATTCACTGCAGAAATCGTGGGTGTTTGCTTTCACATCCAAGGTAGAATCTCAACTATCGCAATGAAACGTTGTGCAAATACGCTGATGATGCATGTTGATGGTGCATGTTGATGGGTCTTGAAGGCTGGAAAGGGATTGTTGGCGTGGCGACGCTGGCAATGCTTGCGATGCTGACGCGTCTGGCAGCTGGAATGTACTGCAGATGGCAATTCAATGTAGACTGGGCTGGGCTTCAGATGAGCCCTACATAGGCCCAGGTTTGAAGTCAAGTAAACTGACTCCGGTTTCCGACTTGGCCTCATTCAATGGTGACGTTCGTGCTAACACTTGGGACGTATGTGCACCAAGCATGTTGTAGTGCATTCCTCAGCCCATGAGAGTCAAAATTGGACACAAAAAACGGTGTTCCCACCCCCAACCGTCATTGTGAGACCCCCTCAGATGTGCATCTCCCACTGTAAGGGAACCGGCTTGATACTGAAAAAAGCCCAATCACCCACCCCTTTTGGGGTGCTCCTCAACCTTTTGCAAGTGTCATGCAAAAGCTATTTGTTTGTAAAAGGTCTAAGAGGCGATTTGATCACGCTAAAGACCAGCTATGTTTAGGGGTGGTTGACCCCAGGTCTCCCTCCATTTGCCGAAGTCCCCTGGAAAAAAGTATGTCAGGTAGTGATTCCCCATAAAACCAATACATGAAAAATATTCTTACTAGGGTGTTCGGCCAAGTTGGTAAGTTGTCAATAACCTAAGTTACAACCCCGCTCATAAGTCCCCTAGCGGAGTTAACCTTGTTATTCGTGGGTTGTAACAAAGGTGGCTAACCGTTTACTAACTTGGCAACGCATGAAACTGCCCCGTGCTTCCACACACATCCGCTCACTTCCTGAGTAGGTTGCCCGCCTGATTATGCTTGCCACTGCCCAAAAAAGCCACTAAACCAACGAAAAAACACTAAAACCCGAAGTTGAACTTGATGGCCGGGCTTGCCACCAAGACACACATGCCCCCCCCCCAACAAGAGAGGGGCCATTTTGAATTGAAAACAAAAACTGAAAACCACTTGCGACATCCGCTTGGGTTCCCAAAGGAACTTCCAAAGACAAGTTGAGGGTCCAAAGGTTTGTGGGAAACCAGAGGACACCAAAACGTACCCTCAAAAACAAGCACGCCAAAATTCAAAAGGTACCCTCAAAAAAAGGCACGCCCAAAAGGAAACCGCCCGTTTTGGTGAAGGGTGACCCCAAAACGGGCGAGGTCTCCGCGGGCCGCGGGTCGCCCCACGGCGCCTGCAGGGCGCGGCGCCGCAGCTCCGCCAAGGCCCGGAAGGCGCGCCAGGCGCGCAGCGGCGCCCAGGGCAGCTGGCGAGCGAGGCGAGTCCGGGGCGAGTGGGTTTGAATCCCAGGGCGTGTCAAACATAGGTGTCCTTTTAGGGGAAATAGATGGGTTTCCCTGGTAGATGATTAAACCACTAGGTAAACCAGGGCCATCGATTTTTTCTAGCAAAACAACCAAAAAGGACACCTATGGTGTCAAAATGGATGTGTCTTAAATCCGTATCAGTTTCCGCCTCATATTGGGTCACCCTTGCTGGGGCTGTGGTTCTTGAAGGTGACCCTTTTTGGACTTGGTTTAAAGGGAACCATTGGGAGTGCACCTAGTTTGACACATTCCCACCTGAAATGCGATGTGTCAAAGGGGGAGCCCAAAACTGGTTTCCCTCTTGATTCCTAGAAAGTGAAACACGGAATGGCAAAGTCGATAAATTGTTCTTTGAACATTACGTGTTTGTCAGGCCTGATGGAAAATAAGATTCACTTTTGAAGAGCCATGACAAATCGCATCCTCTTTGACAGTGTCAATCATCAGCCAAGCCACGATGTCTGGGGCTGTGAAGCAGTATTTCGGAGTGACCTTTTCCACCTGCAATAGAACTTGCATGCTGGGGTTCCTGAAAAAGGACAGACACCTTTCGAAAGAAGCAACCTGATGCTTCCAAAACAGAAGCAAAGCCTGCCTACAGTAAGATCGCCGTGATCCTAGTTGGCACTTTCACTTTCCGTTTGGTTCTTGGATGTTCTTTGGTGGCAACTGGAAGATCCCCCTACCTTGAGGGGGAGGCGTGGGGCGATTTCCATTTGTCTACTTGAATACTCGGCCTAGTTAGCAAACTGTCAATAACCCAAGTTATAACTCACCTAGGTCCTCCAGTAGAGAGGCTAGAATAATTTAGTAGGGGAACCCTCCCAACCAAAAAAAGTTGGCGAGAAAGGGCACCCTTCCGCTGGGGACCTAGTGGGTGACGGCGCCCGACCAGAAAATGCCGGCCTAAAGTAGCAGGGGAATCCACTTTTGGACTAAGGTAGACTTAAACCCAGGGGTTTTCCTTTTGGTTTGCCTAAAAACACCGCCAAGGGATGGTTGAGGGGGTGGGGATAGTTCCCCTTGAGGTCGCTGGATGTTTATCAAAAGGGGCATTGCCTATTCTGTGGATCCTCAGAAGCAAAAAGACTTGGCTTGGCCTCATCTATTGTATCAACCTGGATCGGGAAGGAACTGGCCCATCCAAAGCCAATCGATACCCAGGAGCCAGGTGTTGCGAGGTCGTGTCGAAAACTACCAAGGAAACTGGCAGGCGCTAGGAGTTCCCAGGGGCTTCGCCAAAAGGTCATTGGCGGGGTGCCCCAATTTTGACACATGGCCAGTGACTGACTTTTCCGGGCTGAGGACCAAGAACCTTCCAATCTAACTCCATCGAGTGAACCCGCATTGACTACACTACCCCTAGGCTTCCTGCCTCCACCAGCTCCACCCCGAACTTCTTCCTCAAGTGCCAGGCACGAACCGTGGCATTGGAGTGCACGAGTTGCCAGACCTCGACTACGAGAGCGGTTCAAACATCAAAATGACAACACTGAATGGGGGAATCCCGCAAAGCACACGTGCATGGAGTACACATACAAATGGCCGTGTCTTTTTTAGGAGACCCCAAGAAAGGTGGTGTTCCCCTTTGGTGTCCCTTGAAAACCACCCCGCCGGTCCCCTTTGGTGCAAAAAAAAAAAAAAAAAAAAAAAAAAAAAAAACGGTCAAAAAGACACACCCAAATGAATGTAGGCCACAGTACCTGAGATACTTGGGATGGTACCTCGGAACAGGCCGGACTAAAGAACTCTGCATCCAGGCAAGGCCTCATTGCCTTCTGGAGATGGCAGAAACGGACAAGAGGCGTTCTTATTTTGGTTCATGGGATTTTGTGGCTGGCAGGTTCAGGATAGATAGATTAGGAAGTGGGAGAAGACCATGAGGCTTTCGCAGACGTCGACTCGCACAAAGTTGATCGCTTCACTCCGCCCAGGGACCCAACGTCAAAAGATGATCGCTCTTTGAGGCCATGGCCAAAACTCCCACCAAGCAGGCGAAACTGAAATGTCCAGAAGTCGCTTCGCCTTCAGCACCGTGAGTTCTCTATACTTCCCTGAGAAGGCGCCACGTATTGGTCGTAGGCTTTTTCAAAAACTCACCAAAAAACTCTCGGCGCCTTCCAGAGGGCTCTCGAGGACTCCGCGAAAAAATTCGAGGAGGTGATGCGTCAAAATAGCGATGTGGACCAGGGGCTCAGGGATCCAAAACTTGGCCGGTGTTTTGTTTGGCTTGCGTTCAAACCAACCTAAGGGTACCCTCCAAACACCCGCTGCATGTGCCAAGACTGAGGACTCGTACGGCCCGCCCTCTTCTGGGTCACAAGGAAACCGGTCTCAGGTTGATGCTTCCATTTTCAGATGGAGGTACCCACCCCTGCATGACACACGTGTGCCAAAAGGTAAGGTTCTTCCAAAATGCGGTGGATATTCTGGACTCTGGACTTTGCAAGTAAGGGGGCTTACTTGTAGATCGATCCTCCAAAAAGAGCCATTGATACTTTGGACGTACAGATTTCTGCACCAGTTGGGAGGTGGTTTGTCCCATTCATAGGGTTCATCCATCCCACCTTTTTGCGAAGCGGATTTTGTCCAGCCACAGCGTGTTGTATTGCTTTGGTGCTGCTGTTTTTGTCCCCCCCCCCCCCCGGGTTTGCGTGCAAGAGGTTCTTTCCACTTCAAGGGGCGATCGGGTACGTCAGGTAAGTGGTTCGTCAGCCTGGTTATAACCCACCGAACGGAGATTCACAACCTCAGCTTTTGCGGGTTGTCTCACCATGGTTAGTACTGGGCTGCCCTCAGATCCCCCGCTAAAAGAAAAAAAACTTTTGAGTGGGATACACGGAAAAAAATGTCTAAAAAGTAAGCCACTAAGATCTTTTGCCACTACCCAAAAAGTAGTCCACAAAGTCAGGGAGTGAGTCGCCCCAAAAAGCCACGAAACAATACCAAAGATTAAAACAAAAACAAAAAGAAGCTGCACCGGCTGGCCGGGCTTGCCGACAAATGACTATGGCTCAAAACCCCGTACCCCCAATGAACATCCCAATCCCCACTAAAATCGGATCTAAAATGGGTGGTGCACCTACCAACCAAAATGGGATCCCAAACGTATTGGCCCACGGCCAAATCAAGTTACCCGGACGTTGCCCGACTCGCCTCGACTCGCCCTCGACCCGCGAGCGGACTCGTCCGTCTCCGAGTCTCCGCCGAGTCCAAGCCGAGGCGCGGAGAGGGTGAAGCGTCCGGGGCGGCAGCCGGCGTTATCTGGCGCAAAAGCCCGGAGTTCTTCCAAAACGCTTCTTCGCGAATACCTGGGGAAAGCATGAGAAGAACTCTGAAACAAAACAATCAGGGGAAAACTGAAAAAAGTGTTCAAAAAAAAAGCTTGTTTCAGCAAATGGAAGAGAATGGTGGGCTTTCCTGTGGGTATCCCCCCTTTGAACCCCCCCCTTTTGAGGGTACCATCAAAAAAGGATCCACCGAGCAAAAGAGTTAAAACGTCTTGGTGAGCTTGTTTTACCAGGTGAGCTCGCAATTGGCTGATTGTATGGGGAAGCTATCCCTAGAACAATCAGTCACCCAGTGCCTGTGCCCCGCGAAGCACCCAGGTGCTGCTTGAACCACCCAGCAAGGGGAAATGATCTCAGAACAAGTCCATGAAATAAGAAGTGGATCCCATTCTAGTAGGGAAGAACACGGTTCATGCTTCTGAAAACCAGAAGACTCCGGCCAAGCCAGTTTGAGACGTGGCCTCATGCACCATTTCGGTTGCGAGGTGTTTCGCGCCGCGCGTGCTGAAGTCAGGCGGTCACGGAAAAGGCGCCGAGTTTTTGTGTTGTGCCAGGAAACGTTGTCCCTTTCGCAGGTTTTCACCAGAGGACTTTTGGTGAGACTTTCTTTAGGGGACCCCAAAACAAATCGGTGGCCTCCTTTTGGTCTCCCTAAAAAAAAAAAAAATCGACCAAAAGGCGGTTCCCACCCCCCAAAAAAACAAAAACGAGCCGCCCACATAAAGAAAAAGACTCTCGGGGAGTCCCAACTGGCTCCTCGGAAGGTGATCAAATTCATCGAACCTTGTGGGCCAAAAAATGGCGCGACGCCGAAGCCACGAAGTCGATCTACGTGTAGCAGATATGTAGAACGCCCACCCCCCCCTTCTTTCTTGCCTGGTACTATAGGCGTGTAATGCAATGTAAAAGTAATGTAATGTAGTGCCAGGTAATGGAAATGTAGTGGTAATGGAATGCAAAGTAATGTAAATGTAATGTAACGTAATGTAACGTAATGTAATGTAATGTAATGTAATGTAATGTAATGTAATGTAATGTAATGTAGTGCAATGTAGTGCAATGCAATGGAATGGATTGTAATGTATGCAGGTGTTTACGTACGAATAAACGTATGTATGTACGTACGTACGTATCCACATACCCACGTATGTATGTATGTGCGTGTATGTGTGTGTGTGTGCGCGTGTACATTTTTTAGGGTACCTCTCTTCAACGATTGGTGGGTTCGCCAAAATGCCTATTTTGGCACACGTCCAGTGACTGACTTTTCCGGGGCCCTTCCCAAGGCTCCAGAAAGGATCTAACTCTGTCGAGTCGCCAAATGAACCCCTGGGATCTGCCTTGAACCCTTAGGATTTACCTTTTGACTGGTGTTGCTTCTTGGCAGAAATGCACCCAAATGGGTTCAACCAGTTCCATGAAAAGAATGGTGGGACCCAAGTTGGATGATGACAATCCTGGAAAATAAACAACGGTGGTGAAATATGAACCCAACCATTGTTGTGATGGTTGATTGAACTCTCACGTGCACGATTGGTTCGAACCCCCATTTGAGAGGGGGATCTATTGGAAAAATAGATGGGTTTCCCTGGTGGCATCTATTGCCAATCTAAACCAGTGCCATGTATTTCTCATCTGCCTAACCTTCATCTGGACACCTCCTAAGTCCTCCAGATTTGAGAGGTTAGAATAAGGGTACCAACTTTCGTTCTCTGGACGTCTATTTTAGATTCGGGGAACCGAATCTCCCAACCAAAAAAGAAACGGGTGAGAGGTCGGGCACCTAACCTAGCCTCACCTTTCGCTTTACCCCTCCCGATCCTCGAAGCTCCACCAACCCCCACGGCTTCTTTTCAACCATCGCGCAGTGCAAATAAAAACTGGGCTGCAAGTTATAAACTTCGGCAGGCTCTGCATGACAAGAATTCCGCCTACACCTAACAACTGTCGGAAGCCATCCACTGTACAAATCCCAGATGGGCGGCTAGGCGAAGCTGAGTAACCCATCAATGCCTCCTCCGGCATCGCAAAACTCGGGACCCTTCCTCTCACGAACACGGCATGTGTCGGCCTCTTGAAGGGACTCTTTCCATGTCATGTGCCATCTTAGCAGGTGGAGGGCAAGTGTGTGAGCAGTCAAATCATTGAGGGCATACGACCCAGCTTCTCGCTCCGACCACGTGAAGGCTGTACAAGAGGGGAGGCAATAATCAAGCCTCTTACGGGAAGTGTTACTGCCTCGGCCGAACTCTGCGCATGCCTCAGTTAGCAGCAGCTGAGAGATTTAACCGGAGCGGGCTTCGGGTCGGTCTTGTACCGCATGGTTGCGGGAATACTCAACCCGTGAAACACGGCTCTGATGCACAAAAACCCACGGGCACGCGTCACCCGTTCCGCGGTTCCGTCGAGCGCATATCTAAGCTGTGTCCTCACTCGACAGACCCAGGCACAGACTGGCCTGGACAAACAAATCACTCATATCCTCTGCCTAAGTGGATTGGCTGAAGGTAACCAAACCATAGGTGTCCAGGGAAAATGAATGGCCCTGGTAGATTGTGAGGTCAACCAGGTCAACCAGGGCTATCTATTTCTACCACTAAAACTTGGTCTTCCCTGACAAAAGTCCGGAACTTGCCTGACTCCCCAGGGCCCTTGATACCACCTTGGTTGGTGTTGCTTGCGGTCCTCGAGATTTTCCAGAGGCCTCGCACCCGAATCACATTGGGGAAATCTAGTTGACACATTTGCCAAGGGAAGTAGCCAATGGAAACCGACCACCACCTAGTCTTGATTTAACCATATGTCCTCTTTACACGACCACACATGCTTGGGTTCCTCTTGGTGCACTTCATACACCCGTCGAAGCAACTGCAGGTACCATTTGAACATCACCCAAAGCAAACACAATCGAGATTGGCAATCTAGGACATTGGATGGTTCAAAGGGAAAACCACGCAAAACCAACTAACATTGGCCGATCCCTTGAGGAATCACCCAAACAGGATATGACATTGAATTGGGGGGCCTTTCACATGTATGCCTACCAATTCAAAGGATGTGCCCCCATTGAAAACGCAGAGCAAAATGTGCCAAATCCAAAGTTGTTGCACCCCTAGGCACCTGTTCTTTGCCTTTCCTGTCTAATTTGTTTAAGGGATCCATACCTGTACCTACCCTCAGCAAAAAGGTTTTGACACACAGCCATACTGCGGATGGACGAAATCCATTTCGCACCACCTAAGACACCATGGAAACCATTGCTTGTTGGTATTTACAGGGGAATCATCAATCCATGGTTTCGTAGCTGGTGCGAAATGGGTTCGTCCATCCACAGTATGTCATATGTCCCCCTCACCAACAATGGCGTCGTTTGGGCTCCCTTCACAACCCCGGTTTCCCAATGCTTCCCCTACATCCCACCAAAAGGATCCTCACTTCAAATTGGCAACCAAAATGGAAACATGGGTCGGAGTCTTGTCAGGGTACCCGTTTTCCGGGGTTGGTCTAAACAAAAAGCCAGCATGTGGAGAAAAAAAACTTCGCCTGGTCTGCGTAGCCCTCCTCGCCGTCCTTGCTAGAACAGGGCCTCAGCAAGGCCCATTCGGTGGAGCCCTGTAGAATGGAGCCCGGAAAAGAAAAAAAACTTCACCAACCCAGGAATGAGGTGACGCCAAGGAAGGGAAGTTCGCCATCCCAGAACCTCCTTGCGATCCGCAAGAAAGGAACCTTTGGGCCTTTTTGTTTGACCTAGACACCTTTTGGAGGGGCCACAGAGCACCCCCATTGCATAAACTGGTGGGTTTATTCTGGGGTCAACATGACTTCACCCAACAGACGAGATGGCCTCCCAAAAAAGGAACTTTCACTTTGGGCGTGGCAACCTGGTGACGTGAACATTGGCCCCAAGTTGTGTGTTCTCCCTACATCACTCTCAAGGGAGTCTCACAAAGACAATGGGCTCGAACAGTGAGGTCTCAAACCAAACATCCAATTGAGTCACTTGCTCAAAACCCGGTATTCAAATGGTCCCAAAAGCCATGTAAAGAATTAAGAAGGCGGAGATCCGCAACTATGTCTGGCTGGGACTGCTTACTAACCTTCGTCTCGAATCGGAGCACGTGGCTCAATCGATTCAGATCCGATTCTCGGATTCGGGAGCCAAGGTGCATCCCTTGATATGGCTCTGATGTAGAGAGGGCATGGCAATCCAAGCAGAAGGGCGCATGGCACCCGGATTTTTCTCGGACACTTGCTTGCATTTGCTTATTCGCCCATTGGAAAAAATGAGAAGATATTTCCAGTACGTAGGGATAAGTTCCTTTTAAAACACAATAAGGGAAAAACATATTCTTAAGCAAATGGAAGATAGGATAGGTCCGAGGGTTGATTCCTCATTCGTTTCAACCATCGTTCTTTCAAAAGACAGGCCGCTTTTTTTCGGAGGTTTTCTAGAAACAAGGATCCTGAAAAGAATGGGGAAGCTACCCCTAGAAAAATCGGGGGGGAGGGGGGGGGGTGGGGGGTGCGCGTTGCTTGCCGTTCGATTCCTTTTCCAATCGGTGTCGGGGCCCCGAGTTCTGCCCGCGATCAAAAGGCCGCTGAGGAAAAGGTCCAAACTGCTTATTTACCACTCACACGGTGCCCCCCAAGAAGCGACAAAAGTCCCAGCAACTCACAAAGTGAGTTGACAACACGGGAACTGTCCAATTGGTTTGCCGGGGTTTTGGGGAAGCCTTAAGCTGAACTATGGAGTGAAGAAATTGAAGCCAAATGGGTGGGTCTGTTTTTGAACACCACGAAAATTCCGGCCTTCTGGATTTCAGCCATCGAAGCGGAACAAGTCGGAAATTCACAAATCCCCCGCGCCTGTTGGGTTTGAGCTCACTTCCTTTCTTGGGAGGACTTGTAGATTTTAACGTGGAACTTTGATTGGTTTATGCTCGCCGCCCTCCCCCCCACCCCCCACCCCCCCCC